CGGCGTAGTCGCCATGACCTGTTTTCATAGCTAGTAGTCGGTGAAGGACTGCTCTTGGCAGAGTTAGTTCCTTCGGCTCCTTTGTGTTGTACTTGGGAGACCATTCTTTATAATTAGCAGAGAGAGAGGGATTCATCTCTTCCCACCACTCAGTCTCTGCGCGTAGGCGCTTTTGGCGAACGATCGTCCGGACACCGCTAATTGTTGGTAGCTTGTCGATCGCCTGGTCCATGGGTCCAATTGCGCCTGCGTTTGCTAGGCGGTCTGCTTCCTCATTCCCTTCGATCTCCATGTGACCAGGTGACCACTTCACTCTAATGTCAAGTTGTTTCATTGCCTTATGGCACTTATGGAAGGCCCATTGCGTTGTGGGCGGCGCGTTTCCGCGAACACCCCAGATGACCGATGTACTGTCAATACACATCCAGATCCGGCCACTCGGGGGATCTTTAAACGTGCTGATCAGGTGCTCCAGCCCTCGCCACGCTCCGATCGCTTCTGCATCGAACACATGTGAGTCGCTCCGGATCTGCTTGGATCCGGAGGCTAATTGAGTGCCATTGTGATATATTACATATCCGTATCCGACACAGTGTTTACGATCAATGGTTTGTTCTGATCCGTCGGAGAAGATCGTGTAGTCCTCAGGTGGGAGTTGCAGCCACCACTCTTTGAAGGCTTGAGCTGCTTCCTCTTTGGTTAGCCCTTCCGTCGGATCCGTTCTGCAGCCTATCGAGAAGTGCGGGCGAAGTAACTTCGGCCGTTGGGTCTCTGGGATGAGGAGGCCGAGCCGTTGGATTCTTGTAAGGGGCCTTCTAGCTGTGCCTGCTCCTCGCCCGCGCTTTCGTACTGTGGGTTTCAGGCGGCTCACTAGCAGGTGCTGATTGTCGACCGTTTTTAAGCGGAGTGCGAATCGCAGCTTGGCGTGTTCTAATGCGACTATCCCCGATGGCAGGCCGGCTTCTTTGATAAGAGCTGCGGTCGGTGTAGTTTTGTATACCGGGATCGCTCATCTTGATATATATAAATAGTTCTTAAAGTATAATAACTTCTTTTTAGGTATTAGTTTAATTTTATAATCTTATATTTAATATGATAAAAGAGTGTTTATATAATATGAAAGAAATATGGGTAATTTGTTTTATAATTAAAGAAAAAGCTTTTATTAAATCTCTATATCATTGAGTTCAGGTTTTCTAATTAAAAATTTAAAGATATTTGTCTTTAAGATTTTATATAAATAGGCCGGTTTATAACAATTATAAATGAAATTATATAAATATAATAATAATTGAAATAAAGTTTTGATTAGATTTTTTTTTTTTTTTTTTTTATTAAATAGAATATCCTTATATTCTTTTTTATTAAAATAAACTATTTGTAATAAAATAATTGTAATAAAAAAAAAAAAAAAAAAAAAAAAACTTCCTATTATTTGTAATTCAATATTCTACTATCTAATTAAATTCATCCTAAATAATCCTTATTATACAAACATTATCCTATCAATAAAAAGAAACAAAACTTGAGGCCTATAATTAACAAATGTCCTTTATATTTGGGCTTAATAAAGATAACTATATTTTTAATATTAATATTGAAAATAATAATAGATAATTATATTTTAAATTGATTTATTATTTGTATTAACTAATCATTTTTTTTACTAAAATTGTATATATATTTAGAAGATTATCTATCATTTAAGTTTATATATAAGAACCTTTATTACAAGTTTTTATACGATAATAATTTATATTTGATATAAATATTGTTTCAGTATCTAATTCGTTTTTATTAATAATAAACTTATATCTTTTATTTTTTTTAAATTAATTTTATATATATAATGATTAATAAGTTTCCTTAAGAAATTTTTTAATTAATAATAATACGTTCAAAATTCTTTTTATTTAAAATTATTTTTAAATTATTAATAAATTTGTAATTAGTTATAACAAATAAATTATTAATATTCGAATAATATATGGTATATTTCGAGAACAATATTATATAGTATAATAGAATAATATAAAAGAGAAAGTTATATTCGATTAGTCTATATATAAGTTATAATATTGAAGTTATAGTAAGTTAAAGATGATTAGTATATTAGAAGATAATTTGATAACAAAAAACAGTTAGGTTTTATAATATAATTTTATAATTATATTTATAATAAAATATTTAGTAATAATATTTACAATTTTATTATCTATTAAGTAAAGTTCTTTTTGATAAAATAGAATTTGAATATGTATTTTATAATTAATAATAGAAGATTGATTTGTGAATGTTTTTCTAAATTAATTATATTAAAAAAAGATTTATATATTAGAAATATAATAATTTTAATGAATAGAGATTTGTTAGTTATAATATTAAACTATAAAGATTCTTTACTAATTATAGCTTATCTTATTTATTTAATATCTTTTAATGATTTTTATAAGCGATTTAATATGAAGGTTGGGTTTTTTTAATGTGATTATTAATTAGAGATATTAATATATTATAGGGTGAAATATTAGATATACTTTTTAAAGATATTAAAGATTTAGTTTTAATAAATTCCTAAAACATATTCAATTATTATTTAGAATAGAATATAATATAAACATTATTATTATTATTATAACTATTCTAAGAATTATATTCTTGGAAATCATTTCAATTATAAGATTTATTTTAATATTAATTAGAATATTAATTACTTTAATCAATAAAAACACCTCGATATAATCTATAACCATCAAAACCTCCTTAAGGACTCATAAATTCTAAGCCTTCTTTAATTACTTATTATATATTCGCTTATTTTTTAAAATTACAATCCTATACTAAATAATTAGGTTTCTTATAATAATAATAAAGATTAAATCGACATTCCTTTTCTTATTATTAATCTTATGTTTTAAAAGTATTAAGATTTATAAGATTAGATAATATTAATATAATAGATAATATGTTAATTGAAAATATATAATATTATATAAAACTCGAATTCATTTTTAATTTCAAAAGATATTTATTTTTTTATAAATTCTGATTTCAAACTTTAAACTTCTACTTTTAATTATTGATATTAATAAGAGAACAAAAATTAAAATCTTATATAAATAATTATTAAAAGTTGTAAAAGATTTTTATCTTTATTATTACAATTATTTTGTATAATTACTTATAATATATTATATTAAGATATTTTAATTAAATATAAAAAGTCGAAAAAGACATCTTATTAATTATCTTAAATTTATCAAATTGAATTAAGACTTTATATATCATATTAATTGAAATATAAAGCTCATCGAGCTTATTGAAAAAGAATTCATTAATAATATAAATCAAGGTTTTATTAATAATATTATTTATATTAATTAATCTTTTTTAATATACATAATTATTAATAAAAAAGGTTAGATATAAAAGCTTTTTTTTATCTATATCAAAAACAATCGAATCAATTATCCAGCAAATTTATAAACTTTATTTTTAAATAATATATTTCTTTTATTAAGATATTAATTCTATCTTTTTCTTTTGAAAAGACTTAGAGTTTTTCAAAGTTTATTGTTAACTAGTTTTATCTTGAATAAAAGTATTTAATAGGTTTTGTATAATTTAAGATTGTAATAATTAAGTTAATTAAAGTTAAATGCTTAATTAATTGTTTATAATAATTTTAAGGAAATATTTTATAATTAAATCTTATTTGAATGTTTATTGAATAATAAAGAATGAATTGAATATATAATTAATAATATTATATAAATGATTAAGGTAATTTTGTTGATTTTATATTAATATTAATAAAGGAAGAGGGCTATAAAGTTTATAATCCTAAAGGTTAAATGACTCTTTTATAATTTATTATTATTGATTAAAAGTATTATTGATTTCAGTTTTAAATGTTTTAAGTAAAACAGATAATAATGAGTTAGTATTTAAAGTATTTAGTGTATTAATTATAATAAGAAAAGAGAATAAGACAAAAATATAAATAAAAATGAAAATAAAGATAAAAATAAAAATAAAGAGATGTAAAAAATATAAAAAATTGTGAAAATTATAAAAGGATCTATTTTAAATAAATAAAAACAAAATAAAGAATTTCTTTTCAGAATTAAATTATTTTTATTATAATAAGATTCTTTTATAAAGTAAAATATATTATTATAATATAAAAGATAAATATTAAATAAAATGTATAATATTCTATAAAGAGTGAAGAAGAAGATAGAGAAGTATTAACTATATAGAGGGTAAATGCTTTAGGCATTTATATAACTATATATTAAACCCGTGACAATAATAAAGTAATATTATATTATAACTTATATGAAACTCGAAGTACGAGTATAAGATTATTAATATATAAATAAATATAAATAAATATAAGTATATGGCTAATAGGATAAAAAAGAAAGCTATATACTCACATATCTACCTGACTACGTACTCGAGTAATCGAGAGCGAATCTAAGAATTGAGGTTAGCAAATCGCGCCGGTGAGGAGGAGGTGTTTGTCTGTGAGATTATGTAATAAGAATCGTAATAAAACAAACAAGCAAGCAAGCAAGCAAGAAGAGGATTCCGTTTTCTGCTCTATAAATTCCCTTCCTCCTCCCTTTCTCCGTCACCCACCTATACAAGATATAATTCCACTGAACACAAAAGCCCAAGTTTGAGAGAAATGCTTCCATTCATTGGGTATATAATTCGCTACACGTGAAAATCTCACTTCCATGTCCATTTCCATCTCTCTGTATCTCTGCCTGCATCTCCTGATCTCCCAAGCCAAGATGAGAAGTGTTTGCTACAAACTTCATCATTCAACCATCTCTCGATAACGCCCCTCATGCAAAAGAAACCCCTACACAACAAAAAAAATCCCCTCTCAGCTCCCTATGCAAATCTAAGTTCTTCAACATCCAAATCCATTCCCTCTATTCTGTTAACGTACTATACAAGCACTTCCTCTTCTCCTTCCTTCTTCCTCAATATGCAAGCGTCAATCCTTTATCCCTATCCAATTTATCCACCAACACACTTAACGAACCCGCTGCCACTTTTGCCGATGGCGGAGCGCGAGCTGGGAAATCTACTAGAGCAACTCTTAGAGCTGCGATTGCTTGAACTCCATAAAGTTCTATGAATCTTTGTTCCCAGCCTTCAATCATCGATCTCAAAGCTGTATATTGTGTTGAGGACGCTTCTTCTGTTGGTGTAGAAACAATACTTGCCATTGCTCTCCAATAATATGTTGGTGGCCATGGATTGGTGAGTTTCACTTTTGAGAAATCACGGAGAGAAATAGCTGCATATCCTGCTGCTAACCCAACCATTCTGTTATTATGAGCTTGTTCGTCAATCCAACTTCCATCATCTAATCTTTGCCATCCTATTCGAGCTCTTCCTTCCTCTGTTTTATCATTTCCACGAAGTCCGAATACTACCGGTATGGAGACGCGCATTTTTGCCATTAGAATATCGATTAATGAAGAACCTCTCCATAAAAATTCATCTCTAGCAAATATCGAAACGGCAATAACACCAACAGGATCTGCCATTTCTGGTCGAACACCTGCTTCATTGATAAATTGAGAAACAATAGCTTTCGAGAAAAAGTTGAGAAGATAGATAAAGAGAGAGGGAAGTTGTTCTCCATTATTTTGAGCTCCTTGTACAGGATTTGGTTTCGATACCATATAATTGCTAGGATCGATTCCTGGAGATTGTACCGCTCGAAGGGATTCTCCAAGTAATGTAACGATTTTATTGATCTATCATATATTTAGTGGCCGTCCAAATTAAGTGAGCCTTGTTAAACTTACACACCCCCTGTTTGCACCTCGTTCCCCGGTCAATTGTCCAACAGTTTGTCGAATTGCTCTTCGATAATCCCCTAACATTTTCTTGAATGGTATATTTTGTTTTCCTTCCGTCACCAAGTATTGCCGCAATTGTTTAAGATTCTTATGAATTTCAACATAACGTTCCACACCTGGTAGTAAATGATCCCTGGAAGCTGGTGGTTTTGAAGTAGGGGTAGGTTGTTGTTGAGGTGGAGGTTGCGCGGATGGCTGTTTTGAAGGTTGCTGTTGAGTTTGAGGTTGAGGTTGCGAAAAGGCATTGGCTTGCTGAGGAGGTCTGCTTTGACTCGTTTGTTGACTGGGCGCGCCAAATCCCCCTCCACTGTCATTATTCTGCTGCGATGGCGGTGGTTGTTGTTGTTGCTGCTGCCGTTGTTGGGGAGGAGATTGAGATTGATTCTGAAGCGGGTTCGAGGTCGTTTGTGCAGGCGCTCGAGGAACTTCTGCTACTGGTGGAGGGGTAGGAGGTTTCGGAGGGACAATCGGTATTCTTCTCGCAGCTTCTTCCAACTCCCTCCTCTTTAATTCTGCCAATGCGCTCTGCCTTTCCGTATTGACGCGATTCTCCTCAATCTTCAGGCGCATCTCTTCAATCCGTAACCTTTCCTCTTCAGCTCTGATCTCATGTTGGGCTCGGAGTTGTTGTTCTTGTATGAGAGTGATTTGAAAGACTCGCATAGCTTCATTCCGCACTCTTTCATGTTCCAGTCGCGCGGCTTCCAGTATGCCACGATGCAGTTCTTCGGTGTTTCGATTTTCGAATCTTATATCGTGATCATAAACTGAAGGAACTGGTACGAAATTATAACTTTCTCTCAAGGCTTCATCTTCTTCAATCGAAGATTGATTGGTAGCCATTGTTCTGTTCGCTGTAGCATAAAGAGTGTCGAAAATATCGGGAAGATTGGAAGAGAGATTTTGTGGTAGTTTACAAGAAAAAAAGACGGGAGTTGCAGCTGTTCATAAAGATTGTTGGAGTTACAAAAGCAATACCTACAATATTGAATTAATTTGGAGGTGAATTCTTGATAATCACATGACATTGATATTTTGCCAAAGGCGGTAGCTTCGAGCTGCAGGAAAGAGCTATCCTGTAGTTAGCCGGTAGTCCACGGGCGCTTTTGGTGGTTTGCATGAACAGGGGTTATATAAGCAGGGATTGATGGTGTTTCTATATTTAAGAGCTTGATGGTTGGCTGTGCATTTTCTCGATTTATTTACGATATTATGGAGGTCTACTTAAAATTCTATAAAGGTGGGAGGTGATAACTAAAACCTTATGTATCAAATTGGATGAATTGAGCCTCCGGAGTTGGAATTGGACTCTTCCTTTCTTCCTTACTATATTCCGAGGTCATCTTCTTCTCCAGGCCGTCTTCTTCTCCAGGTCGGTGAGGAAAGGAAGTTCGTTCTAACCATAAAGCTATATCCAAGTAAGAGATAGATGAATTCCTGAAGATACTAGGGGAGTACAGAAGGACAAGGGACAAGGTATCAAACAAGAAAGACGATTCGCTACTGACGGACACATAAAGACATCATGGACATCAAAGAGGTTCAAAGCTCTCCAAGCTTCCCGAGAGGGGAAGATTCCAAGGTTGTCATTGATAACTAGTAACTAGATATCTGGTCAGATACGTGGGTACCTACCTAGGTAAGTGGTACATTTGGTACCCATCTTTATATCATTCCATACCAGGTACCTGCCTCTCCCTCCACTTCTACCCATAATGTCAATATCAATGTGATTGTGAATGAAAAGAAGAGAAAACTCACAAAGACCACGAAATATCCATCAGATAGATTACCCTAATCCCCATGTTCACCAATCTCATCTCCAGCATTGGTCAATTGAATCATTTGTTTCACATTTCTTTCAAACCTGGATGTGTTTGGGTCTCCGTGGAGTCCGGACGTACTTTTATTACAATATTGCCAAGGGGGACGGATTCCCAGATTGAGAGATTCAACGAGTGATCGTGCGCAATTATACCTACCTAGTAGAATGATGTGATGTTTATATATCGTAGGAACACTCTTTTCCAAGGCACGGGTGTAATCAAATATAAACTCTGACTTCATCATGATCATGATGATCGAATAGGAATGATTACCGGTATGTGATTTGGGGGTTGATAAGGAGTAGTAGATATTAAGTAGATATCAATAGGCAGGTGAGCAGAAATACTTATGACCTAGTGATGCATGAAGTAACCAAGTAACCGTTATTGCAGATAAGTAAAAGTATACTTGGGAATCTTGTTGATCAGTTTCCTTCATATCTATTATGGTTATAGCTAGAGAGAAAAGAGTTGAAAGGAAGCCAAATATGAGGCGTAGAATATGTTACTTACCATTCAGAGTGGACAATTCCGAATCAATTGTTCGTGTAAGAGGTTCATGCCGTTGACAGGCTTTTATATTCCTTTCAACCACTTGGCAAGATCGTCCTTATATGGGTAGGAGGGGAGGAAGTTTCTTTGATTGTGTCAAGCACAGAATATTGCTAAATGCGATCGAGTGAGCAGATGCATGAATGAATATATGAGTATGGAGAATGGAGAATGGAGAATGGAGAATGGAGAATGCAGAATCGAGATGGCATATTGAACTAATAGTCGATGATATACCGTAGATCCATCTAGTTTCGAGTAGATCCAGATCCCCCTTCATTCACACGATCAGCTATTCACCAGAGACTTGTTGCTAAACATTTATATGTATCACATCATACCTACCCGTCTTCGCTGTCTAGCTAGCACGTATCTAGGTATGGATTAGCAGGAAATACAGAGAATAAAGTACTAGATACTAAATACTGTCAAGTTGATGGATTTTGATACCTCTTCCATAACCCCTCATACATATCATGCATTCATCTAAAGCTATCTAGAACTACCTACCTAGTTACGAGGGCATCTACTCCAGTTCTACTCCTTTCATATCTATCTACTCGGGCACATCTACTTCAATTCTGCCCAATCGGTTCCCACTATCCACCTCCTCGCCTACCTAGGTACCTACCTAGGTATCATCAATTCATTTTAATCACGATACGTACGTACTCCCTCGTACTCTTTGGATGATATTCGGAACATTACGAAGAGATAACCACCCCATACCTTTGACATGACTAAGGTAGATTCACCCAAGCGTCCAATACAGAGGAAGAAATCCACACCAACGGCCAAAGTTACCTGATCCATCCAAGCCATCCGTCAAAAATTAGATAAACGCACGAACCATCTCTCTCTCCAAACCTACCTAGCGTACCTAGGTAGATACCTAGTCTACGGGGTGTTTATGGGATATACACCTTTTATGCTATTTCTACTATTTCTTTTTATACTCTTCTCTACCTAGTCCCTTCCACCTTACCAGGTATTTTTAACCGACTTTCAAGTCCAAGGTCCAACTTGATACATTTCCCTTCTTCCCTACCCACCTCCACCCAAACATTACCTCTACCTCCTACATTTCCATCTCTCAAATTCCTTCCCTCTCCCCAATTTGAATGCAACAATTCATTCTCTTTCTTAAAGACCTTCTCTCTAAGAGCTTTCTCTCACTACCACACAATACGAAAAATACACTACACTACACTACACTACACTACACCATTTTCTCTCCCTTCCTTATTATAACATTTAAAACGGATCTACCTTGTCCCACCAGAAAATACTCGTCAACAAAGACCATAGCTACCTGCTAACACAACAGCGAATATATCACAAAGATTCAACGTGTACCGGAAATCGATATCAAGCAATTGATATATCTGGCATACTCGAAAATAATACCCCGAGAATCATTCTTTCAACATCATCATCCTATTAGCGGTTCAGCTACGTGGGAAACTGGCCAATACACCTACCAATCTACGGAGTGTAAGTACGCAACTTCCAAGTCGCCTCCCAAGCTAGTTAGTTGTTCGTTGCCAAAGCAAAGACATCTCCGCACTATCAAGCCAACTTTACCACCACCTTACCCACCCACACACATACACATCCAACACATATTCGCAGGGAGAATACCTTCATTCTCTTCATTTGCTTACAATTCATTTAGTATTGATAATACAATCATTTCTTGGGACTTGATTTGTAAAATCAATCCATATATTCAGATATCATACCGGACGCAGATATCGCATAACTCTCTCTTTTCGGATCGTCATCGCACACGCAAAGTGTAATCAAGTCTCTCCATCATGGAGCAACAACAGCAGCCGCAAGGTCCACCAGCTCAAACTGGTGTACCTGGTCCAACTGGACGAAGATTACATATTGCGCATCGAAGAAGTCCTTCAGAACTTACTCCATTAATGAGTATGTTCTCCAACCCAAATAGTAGTACGCATTCAACGTTTCTTCTGTTTTTCCCATCCTCCCCGGTTCTCAGTGATGTACATTCATTCATCTTTCATTTATGATACCCGAGCATCAAATACTGCAATCAATGGCAATGGATCAATGAACTAATCAGTTTTGCAAAGGGTGCCTTCACATACCCATTCATTGCATCAGTTCCCTTCATCCTCTCACATATAATCCGATATAATATGCTAATCCATTCTTCTCTTCACAGTGGAACAACTGGCTATTCAGCAACAAATTGAGCTTCTACAAGCACAGCAACAGCAGATTCAAGCTACCCACCAACAATATGTCAATATGGGAATGATTCCCGGCCAACATCTTGCTGCTCCTGGCCAAGGTTTCAATCCTTTACAGCAACAACAAATGCAAAACCAAAATGCATTCCAATTCTCTAATCAGCTACAACCACAACAGATGAACGTACCTATGGGAGCGCCTCCTACACAGCCTCTTTCACATCGTCGTAATCAATCGGCACTTCCAAATATGGGTATGGCTATGGCAGGTCCACCACCTGCTCCATCTTCAGGTGCGGCTGGCCAAGGCTTTGCTCAAGACTTTGGCGGAAATAACAACCGTGGTGAGAGTCAATCTACAAGAGGCGGTCGTGGCGGAGGACCTCCAGGTGGTGGTCATCAAAGACGTCATTCTCTTGCCTTGCCTGAAGCAAAGAAGGCAGCTGAAATCGCACAACAGAAGAGAACTACTTCTGGATTTCAATTCCCTATTCCTGGTGCAGCTGGAGCTACCTCGACTGGTGGTGATAATTCAGAAAATGTGAGCCCAGGTGATGACAAACCTACACCAAGTACCAGCAATCATTTGACCCCAAGCTCTGCTATGCGTGGTGGTCGTGGTGCTCATGGTAGAAGTCAAAGTATGGCTGTCGGAGGTGGTCAAAATGGGAGAGGTGGATCATCTCAACGAGGTGGTGGCTCATTTCAATTCCCACCAACACAAGGATCTACAGACAATGGTGCAGGTCAAAACAATGACTTTGGAAGAAGAAACAGTGCTCAAGCTGGGCATGCTCGTAACTCTTCTCGAAACTTTGATGGTAACTGGAGAAATCAAGTACCTCAAAATGCTGCTCCGCAAGATCCACAACCACAAATGGGCAACTTCCAAGGTCAACAAAACCAAGGTGGTTTCCAACCAGGTCACCGTAATCGTGGATCTATCAATCAATCCATAAGTAACATCGGTGGATTTCAATACCAAGGTCAACCTCAACTGTTACAGTTTGCCCAAGGACAAATGATCATGCCTCAAGGGTTAGGGTTCCAACAAATGAATCCTTTACAGCTTAATCAACTTCAGCAGCAACTACAGGCTTCTCAACAAATGAATGGACAAATGGGCATGCAAAATGGCCAGCAACCACAACAGCAGCAACAGCAACAGCAACAACGTAAAACCTTGTTCACCCCCTATCTTCCTCAGGCTACTCTTCCAGCTCTTCTTGGCGATGGTCAGCTCGTTTCCGGTATTTTAAGAGTTAACAAGAAGAATCGTTCTGATGCTTACGTCACTACCCATGATGGATTGCTCGACGCCGATATCTTCATCTGTGGTAGCAAGGATCGTAACCGTGCTTTAGAGGGAGATCTCGTTGCAGTTGAGTTGTTGGATGTTGACGAAGTTTGGGGACAAAAGCGCGAGAAGGAGGAAAAGAAGAAGCGCAAGGATATAACCGATAACAGAACTGGTGGATCGGGCAATGGAAACAATGATCGCAATCATCATCGTGATAATTCTACCAATGGTGATGATCAAAACCAAGAGGGTGGACTTAGAAGACGTGGAAGTTTGAGACAACGCCCAACTCAAAAGAAGAATGACGATGTTGAAGTTGAGGGACAGAGTCTTTTACTTGTTGAGGAAGAGGAAGTCAATGACGAACAAAAGCCACTTTACGCTGGTCACATTGTCGCAGTCATTGAACGTGTTGCCGGGCAAATGTTTTCCGGTACCCTAGGTCTTCTCCGACCATCCAGCCAAGCTACTAAGGAGAAGCAAGAAGCTGAACGTCAAGCTCGTGATGGAAATTCTGGTCGTCATCAAGAGCAACGTCAACAAGACAAGCCAAAGATTGTTTGGTTTAAACCTACCGATAAGCGTGTTCCATTGATCGCTATCCCCACTGAACAAGCACCACGCGATTTTGTCGAGAAGCATCAAGATTATGCTGATCGTATTTTCGTTGCTTGCATCAAGAGATGGCCAATCACCTCTCTTCATCCTTTCGGTACCCTTGTTGAACAACTTGGTAAGATGGGTGAATTGAAGGTTGAGACCGACGCTCTTCTTCGTGACAACAACTTTGCTTCTGACGAGTTTTCGGATGCTGTTACACGTAGCGTTGGTCTTGATGATTGGTCTTTGGAGAAGGAAGATGAAACTTCCATCTCCACTAGACGTGATCTCCGTAACGAGAAGACCTTTACCATTGATCCAAATGGTGCCAATGAACTTGATGATGCTATTCACGTGAAAACTGAAGCAGATGGGAAGATCGAAATTGGTATTCACATTGCTGATGTTGCTCATTTCATCAAGGCAAACTCTCTTGTCGACAGAGAGGCCCGCAAACGTGGAACTGCTGTTTATTTGATGAACAGATCTTGTGCTATGTTACCTCCAAAGATTGCCTCGGACATTTGCTCTTTGACACCAGGTCAAGATCGTCTCACCGTCTCAGTTGTATTCAAAGTCAACGCCCAAACCGGCGCTGTTTTCGAGGATGAGACTTGGATTGGAAAGAGTATCATTAAGAGTGGTGGCAAATTGACATACAAGGATGTCGACGCTGTTCTTTCCGGCCAAACCGATGTAAAACTCGAGGGTGCTGAAGTAAAGGATATTCAAATCCTCAATGTAAGTTTTCAAGGCACAAAACGAATACCCCCAAAGTACTAACGTATCTAGGCTGTTGCTCAAAAATTCCGTGAATCTCGTCTTGGATCTGATGGAGAGACTATTGCACCATTAAGACTTGTTTATCAGTTAGATGACGAGAATGTTCCAGTGGAACAGAATATCTTTGATTCTACTTCATCTCATGAATTAATTGAAGAATTGATGAACAAGGTCAATTATTATGTGGCACAAAAGATCTACCAAGGTCTTCCTGAAAAGGCACTCCTTCGTCGACAAGGCCCACCAAATCCAAGACGTCTTCAAACATTTGCTGATCGCATGAACAAAATTGGATACGAAATCGATACCTCAAGCAGTGGACGTCTTCAAAACAGTCTTTTCAAGGTCGATGATACCGATATTCGCAAAGGAATGGAAACTCTTTTGGTCAAGTCCATGCACCGCGCCAAGTATTTCATTGCTGGAAAGACTCAACCACATCTTTACCCTCATTATGCTCTGAACTTACCATTATACACTCATTTCACCAATCCATCTCGTCGTTATGCAGACTTGGTTGTTCATCGTCAACTCGAAGCTGTTCTCTCTGAAGGGAAGATTGAATATAATGAGGACATGGAGACTCTCGTCAAGACGACCGAGTCTTGCAACGGAAAGAAGGATTCAGCTCAAAATGCTCAAGAGCAGAGTGTTCATATCGAGTCTTGTAGGATTATGGATAGAAAGCGTGAAGAGGCTGGTGGTGAACTTATCAGTGAGGGTATCGTCGTCTGTGTTCACGAATCTGCTTTCGATGTTTTAATTCCTGAGTTTGGCTTCGAAAAGAGAGTTCATTGCGATCAACTTCCACTTAAGAAGGCCGAATTCAGAAAGAATGAGAGAGTACTTGAGTTGTACTGGGAGAAGGGTGTACCATCATCTGCCTATGTTCCAGAAGATGAGCGTCCAAAGGCTGGTGCGTCTCAAAGAACTACCAACGCTGCTGCCGCTGCTAAGCAAGCCGCTGTTGCCGAGAGAGCCAAGAAGGAGCACGAAGAAGCTCAACGAAAGACAACGGAGACTGGTACCATCTCAACTGATGATGTTGATGCTTTATTCGATGATGACGATGATGCTTCCGACATTGCTGGTAGCGTTGCTGGTGTTTCCCTTGCTGAACGCCCAACTCAAAGTGTTCCACCATCACCAACCAAGAACTCGATATCAGCCGCAACCAGCCTTCACCGAACTCGTTCCGACTCAAAGGTACCAACTGGCGAACCTGTTGAAGCTAAGCTTAGTGCTAAGGAGAAGTACTTGAAGTATTTCACCCTTCGTGAGGAAGATGGTGAATACATTCAAGATGTCAAGGAGATGACAAGAGTTCCAGTCATCTTGAAGACTGATCTTACAAAGAGTCCACCGTATGTTTATATCTCGCCTCACTTTTGTTCAATATCAACTAACATATTCATAGATGTCTCACAATTAGATCGCTCAATCCTTACGCACTCTAAATCTAATTCAACCAATCATCTTACATGAGGTTTTGAACGCTTTGATATAATGTCGAATTATTTGACCAGCAAAATGGATACATTCTGTGGGCTATGAAGTATTGCAGACGTGATACACTGATTTGTGTTATTTTTACCAATAATACCGACCAATCATTATTTTTAGGTCTTTTTTGACTATCAGATTGTCATATTGATGAATCAAAATGAGACTGGGGATGAAGAGTGGATGAATGAATGAAGGAAAGAAGGATTAATTATTGAGGAGGATCAAATGGGTACGAGTTTTACTTGAATGCTGTGAAAAGTGAATGATCATGAAACGAGTTAGGAAAAGGAAACGGTACGAAGAAAGTGTATGCCTTTTTTTGGCCGGATCATATATCGGGTGAGAAAGGAATCAAGGCTCGAATATATTTCCTTTGCCTTTTAGCGTTTCTGTATCAGATGCATTTGTAGTCTAGCGAAAAGAAATGAATCTAAATCATGAATGTTTTGTCTTTGAAGGGGGATACTTGTGTGTTGTATACGAATTTGATATTTTTGTAGACCCATACCATGATGATGACATATATCAAGCGTTGTGAGTTCCACACTGTGCTATAACTCCCCCTTGATCTACATCCGACATGGATCCTTGATTTCGGCAGTTCTCAGACGATTACGATATTTGTTACTTGACGGGGGAGAACGAGCACGGAGGATTGAGGAGGGGGGAATTAAAGGTTGCATAATATCTTGTGATGTATTCGCTTAGTTTAATTTACAGGCTTAGATGATGGAGTAGCTTTTGATGGAAGGTTTAGCTTTTGGATTTGGATTTGGATTTGGATTTGGATTTGGATTTGGATTGAGTTGTGAATTACATGGAAATGTGAATCGGATGGGAAGATGAATTGGATGGTTAATGCCGAGGTGGAGAAAATCTGTGTGGGAGGGGAGGGGATTGTAAGGAGAGAGATTAGGGGGGGTGAACGAAATGAAAGGGAGTGAAGAGGTTGAAGGGAGAAAGGAGGAGGAGGAGAAGAAGGATGGGGGTTGGGGGTTGGGGGTTGGTTTTGGATTGGATTGAATGTTGTTTGGCGGGGTTTGGATTTAGATAGTGAGGTGGATTGAATTGGATTGAATTGGATTGGATTGGATTGGATTGGATATTATATTTTTTGTATTATAGAAGTAGTAGAGTTCGATAGTTATAATTACAATTTAAAAAATGATTTGTAAGACTATTGTTATATTAGGGAATTGATATGGCTGATGTGTCTGGATGGATGATCGATGGGTAGAGGTACTTGGAGGGTAGATGGATAGATTGATAGATGGATTGATAAATGTATAATGTGGTTTATCATCGAGTGGCCCATATCATCGAGTGGCTCATTTTCACCTCAATTTACACTTTCAAATTCATATTATTCAACAATAATTGAATCAATTAATTGAAACTATTAAGAATCTAATAATCTAGGATTTATTACATTATTTTGACATGTTCTTGTATTATATTCTGTCTTTCTGTATTTACTATAATATCGATTAGAAGATGCTTTTCTATTAGAATTCCCTCCTTTTTGATGCTTATTATGTTGAATTTGAATATCAATCTTTTGCTGAGATAATATATCAAGAGCCTCTTATTCAATGAGTACTTTTCCTTAATATAATTAAGTTTTTTTTATATATCGATATTTACTTAATATTTCATTTACTATTCAAAGTATATAATTCTTTATATTTAAAAGTGTATTCTCATAAGCTAATCTCTTTATACCCTTAATTAAAACTAATATAGTTTTGAATATAAGTATAAAAAAGCTTGATTAATAACAAATTATTTGAGATTTAATTAATATTGATTAAGAAAGAGCTTTTGTTAGATTGTAAGAGGTTTGAGAGATTTATTGATTTAGATTGAAAAAGGGAAGGATAAATATATGAATTTGAATATCTAATTTCAAGAATATAGTTTCAGGATTAAATAGGATTAAATCTGTTCTTTAGAATTCTAATTTCATATTCTAAAAAGTAATTGATTCTTTATATATAGTTTTAAAAGTTATAAAGAATTTAATCTTCGAAATATAATTAATATATACCTTAATAAATCCATCAATTTAATTATTATATAAATGTTTTAGATTGTTAAAACAGTCAATATCAAGTGGTTGAATTAAATAACTTGAATACAATAGTAAATGTAAATATATAATATCGTTCTCTTTGTAGTATATTTGAAAAGCTATTAATTCATAACTTTTATACCTATTCAGTATTAACATTCGATATTTGCCCTTTCTTCGATTCTTAATATACTTATTGAAATATTTCAATTATTCTAAATCCATCTTATTATTCGTTTACTCATTAGATATAGATTTAATAGTTCATTTTGTAGGAAGATTCATTTCAATATATTAATTGAAGAGATAAACTTGTTCTTGAACTATTAAAAATAGGGGAATAGTTTTACCCTTTTCATTTCTATATATTATTATTGTAGCTCATTCTCGATTACTTAGTTGTATTGTTTTGCTTCTGTTATTTTATTTAGTATTAATTAGTATTATTATTGTATATATAATCCTTATTATAAAGCTTGTTTTATTGAAATTATAAAAATCTCCATTCAAAATATTATATTTCGCTTATATATTTACAACTAATCGAAATCACTTTTCAAGAAGCTTAGAATCTTTATAAAGAGTTCTTTGAAAATCATAAACATAACTAAAACGTATCTTTAATTTGATTCAACACTTTACAAATCGATACACTCAAAGCTTTCTAATGTGTTTCGTACCCCTCGATTTGAGAATATTATTCACCATATCTTTTATATTCTTTAATTTAAATAGAAATCCTTTTAAATCTATATCAAGTATATATTAAACAATCACCTTTTCTTCTAATTCTATAATCTTATAACAATTCGCTTGAATTTCTATACAAAAAAGTAAACCTTTCATTCTATATTGAAAAGTTATACAAAAAATATTATAAAATATAACCTTTCGAATACTTAATTTTTTATCTTTATAAATAACTTTAATAATAAGAAATATACAAGCTTCTTGATTATTCAAATTCATTATAAATTGTTAATAAAATATATATTGAAAGAGATAGATGTAAATTGAGATGAAAGTGGGCCATTTGATGATATAGGCCACTCGATGATAAACCATGTTAGATAAATATTTGAATAAATCGATAGATCTTCTGCCCAGCGGGCAATATACAAATCATTCATCCTTGTGAATACCATGATTACTCCAAATCCCAGAACTGATTAGTTAATCAATTACTGGATACTGACGTACTGAGGTACCTCATATTCTAATACATACGATATAATCTCCGTATATATCTTGTTTCTTGCATGTATTTTTGATTCATCGTTTATGCGGATGCGTCGTGCGGATGTGGATGCGGTTACGAATGCGTAGGTGGATGTAGATATCAATGCAGGAATAATCGCTATATTTGCTCATGGTAGAAAGAAGATGGCAATGATAATGATTAGGGGAAAATGAAAATGAGTATCGGAGTCGGAGTCGGACTCGGATGTGAAGGATGTGTAGTTAGGTTCGGTACTTGGATGCTTGGGTACTGGATTGGATGTAGGTAGGTAGGTGGTAGGTTAGTATGCAGGGATTAGATTGCTTGACGGATGCGAAACGGAGATGATACGCTAGCTTATGGGTGAGTGGATGGATGGATGGATGGGTAAGTGAGAAGGTATCATAAAGTGAGGTGTGGGATTTTATAGGAATGAGAATGGGGGACTGGGATGGATAGGGAGGCAAGCAGGTAGTTTGGAGGGAAGGAGATGAAAGGAATGGAGGATTGTATTTATTAGTGGTGGTTGAAGAAGGGAAGATGTAAAGGCGGTGATGAATCTCCTTTTCTTAGCGTGATTATGTAAGTTTTGCTCGGTACTCGTACCGAAGTTTAAACTCGTGATGTTTGTTGGATGGAATGGGAGTGCGAGTGCGAGTTTGTATGAGGGAAAGAGAGAGGGGATTATGTAAATCTGTCTTTTACTTCTTCCTTCTACAAATAAGATGCGGATATCAATATCTGAGTTAATAAGAGGCAAAAAAAAAGTTATGAAAAATAAAACGGTTCCTGGATGATATAACCTTAACCTTCCTCAAGCCACCTAGCTCCCAAAGCTCACCCACCCGAAACAAATCCCACACATCTCCATCCCAGCACCTCCACCCCATCACGGATACACGATGTTCCATCTTCCCATGTTCATACGTGCGTCGGGAAATGAAATAAGCTTATTTGACTTTCCTCTTCCGGAAATCTAGACGAGGAAACTGGGTGTGCGATTGGATGGTGCGGATTTGATGCAAGGGAATGGATGAAGAAAAGTGTGCTGGATGGGCAAATGAAGTATAAATTGGTGGCATGCTGCAAGTGCCAAGATTACGCTTGGGAGTATTGTTGCATGTTGCTACATGTGAGCGGGAGAGGTGCTTCCTGGGTCTTGGTATCGCTTGGGGGTTTGTAATGGGTTGGGAGGTAGGTAGGTAGGTACATATAGATAATGGATATCTAGTTTTTTTTCTTTTGGATTTTCTTGGATTTGGAATCACACTACTTTCTTTCTTCACGATTTTTTGTTACTTAATTTCTCAAGCACTGGATTGCTTTTTGTTTGGATTCATTCATTCATTGATTTTTTTTTCGTTTATTAATTCTGTTAAAGGCTTAATTTATTATTTCTAGTTAATTTTATAGGTGTTGTAGCTCAGGCTGGTCTTGCTTACATCTTTCTTTTTTATACATATTTATCTTTTGCTTTTTCAAAAGGGAAATCAATCAATCAAATCAAAATGCCTGGATTAAAAAATCTTATTGGAGTGGTGATGGGTTTGGCAACAGTAGCATCGGCTCTTCCAGCGCTACCGAGACTTAATGCAAGAGCATTGAAGATGTACGAGGTGAAGAGACAGGTTACTGCGTCGGGTCTACCGGCTGAATTGACGGATGTGGATATTTTGCAATTGTATGTTTATTTTCTCTCTCTCTCCTATTCTTTCAATGGAGCGAAGCGAAAAAGCCTCCACGGCAGTGGCCTAGCGGAGCGTCATTCCTTCTCTCTCCATTTCCCGAAGAAAGGGAAAAAAAAAACATAACTAACACTCCCATCCAGCGCCCTCACACTCGAGAATCTCGAAACTGCCTTCTACCAACAAGGCTTCGCCAAATTCCCCGACTCGGACTTCACAGCTCTAGGTCTCACAACCCAAGACATCGCCAATCTAAAGATGGTCGCCATGACCGAAGCCACTCACGTCACTACCCTCATGACCGCCATTTCCGCCGCAGGCACTCAACCCGTCGCACCCTGTACTTACAATTTCGGTTTCACCACCGCCCAAAACATGATCGCCACCGCCAACGTTCTCGAAAACATCGGCGTGAGCGCCTATCTCGGTGCCGCCCCCTTAATCAAAGATAAAGCGATCCTGACCGTCGCCGCCGAAATCGTCACCGTCGAATCGCGCCACCAAACATTCATCCGCACCGCGTCCAAAGTCTCCGCCATCCCCTCCGCCTTCGATACTCCCCTCGGAATCCGCAACGTTTTCTCTCTCGCAGCCCCGTTCATTTCTTCCTGTCCCCAAGGCTCCAATTTGGCAGTTACGCCCTTCCCGGCTGTGACGCTGACGACGGCTAATGAGGCGATTACCCCGGGGTCGACATTGCAGTTGACGACGACAGCGCAGGGAGCTACGGCCTGTGCGTTTACGAATGGAGGACAGACGGGGGGAACGGCTTTTACGACGTTTGCGAATGGTGCGTGTACGGTGCCGCAGGGGTTGGCGGGTGATGCGTATTTGAATTTGGCGAGTCAGATGCCGGCGACGGGGGTGTTGACGGATGATATTACGGTGGGGGGACCGTTGGTTTTGGCGATTTCGTAGGGGGTATGGGATGGGATGAGGGGTTAGTGGGTGGGGAGTGATGCGAAAGGAAGGTGCGGGAAGGGTGAAGACTGGGAATAAGATGGGAGAATGAGAAGCAGTGATGAATAACTTACTTGAAAATCTAATCATGAGTTATGAGAATGAGGTAGAAAAATATACGTATGTAGAGATGAGATTGGCTGGTTATTAACATGGAATTATTTTGATTGAGCGGTTATCTAGAAAAATACAGGACTTCAATGTCGGTTGAGAAGAAACTTTTCTTTCAATATGTATGCTGTCTCATAATTTCTTTTTTCTTTTTTCTTTTTTCTTTTTTCTTTTCTCTTTTTTCTTTTCTCTTTTCTCTTTTCTCTTTTCTCTTTTCTACTTTCTACACTTGTTATTGGATTGTTAGATATTAATGTCGTTATTTGTTGGTGTTGATTGACTCGTCTGGTATATAGAAGACGGTGATTTTGAAGAACATCTTGTGGGAAATTAATAATGATATATGATTGTTCATCTTATCTCTTTTATCTTCCATGGAGATATCTGATATCTCCTGCCCGTGTTATCTCTCTACGTAAGAATAAAGCAATGGGCATAATCCACTTGATGAATACAGATAGGTAATTAGAGTCATGAGTATCTCACTAAGTAGGTATACAATCCTCGGATTAAAGTTTCTTTTCTTCTTTTTGAATATTTTTGTAACCACCCACCAGCCGGATGATCCACCTTCTCGCGTTCACTCAGCTCGTCCATCTCGTTATTCATTCTCCCACGTCAATTCAATTATTGAACATACACCGGAACCACCGGATCCTCTGCATACAACTTAAACGCATTAACATATTCGAAGAAACTCGATTTGTAATATCGTTCCCCGGTCGTGAAATTTACATATTGCATTCCGAATTTCACATGGTATCCTGTAATTTCATTAGCGAGGATTCTCTTAAATCCACAACAGCAGTCTTTTCTCTGCGGTTGAAAAATTGTCTCGACAAAGAATCGCAGAGAAAGAGAAGAGGGAAAATCTTACCAGAACCCCACTCCAGATTATCCATGATACTCCAAGCTAGACATCCGGCGACGTTGACTCCCTCGCTGATGGCTAATAAGATAGCTTCCATGTATTGTTTGTAATAGAGAGTTCTTCTGGCGTCGCTTCGGATATCAGAGAGGGATGTTTTTTGATATTCGTAGGGCTCTGAGAAACTATTGGGTGAGAGTAGGGATTAGTTCTGGCTTGGTGGAATAAGATAGAGGGGATGTATGTGAGAGAGATGGGAATGGGATCAAAGGGGAGGGAAAAACTCAAAGAGTCATCCTTGGAAACAAAAAACTAACCCAAACTCAGAAACAGCAATTCCTGCCCTACTAGGCCAAGTATCCTGTATATGTTTCAAAAACGTAGGTACCCAATCTGTGGCAATATGTAACCAACTTGAATACGGATCTGCCGCCGCTCCAATTAACCACCCATCTGCATTCACATTCGTGACATTGAAACAGCCTGGGAATAAGATATGCGATGAATTAGAAGTACATGCGTCAATTCCCGAGTCGGGTGCCATGTAATATGAAGAAGTATACGCATCGTGAGCGAACAGATCTGCGGTGCCATTTATTAATGCCTTTTGACTTTCATTAAATGTGAGAGGAATAGTATCCAGATAAGTCTTTAAATAAGGTGGATAATCTCCATTGATGTAAATAGGATTTGCAAACCAGCCTTCCTTGAAATCCCAAGCTCTTTGTGTGGCGACGGCATCTTCGGAGGAATTTGTGAGGGGAATTTTATATCCGCCATTGTTCTTAAAGCTTAGCGTTCCATTGAGTCCTAGGGATTTAAAGAGATGATAGGATTCAGCATGTGCGAGAAGAGCATGGTGACCACAGTAATAGGGTTGCTGTTCTGAAGGGATGGTGGTGGGTGTAAAGTGGCCAGGGGGGAACGGATACTGCCCACAGAATTCGATGGGTTCGTTCACGGTGAACCAATGGGGGACTTTGTTACCGAAGCGGGAAAAGACTATCTTGGAGTAGGTGACGAAATCTTCGACGATGTTGGGGGAAAGCCAACCGCCGTAACTGTTTTGAAGGAAGAGAGGGGTATCCCACTGAAAAGAGAAAGTTAGGATATAAGGATGAGATGAGGGATAGATAAATCTTACATGAAATAGTGTGACGACGGGTTGAACTCCATATTCGATACAAGTATCAATGAGATCTTCATAATGCTGTAGACCAAGTTCATTGACCGGTCCCTTTCCAAATGGTAAAATTCTAGACCAAGATATAGAAAATGAATAGTATGGAACACCGAGAGCTGCAATTCTCGCAATATCTATTGCTGTTAGTCCCCTATCATTCTAATCTTGGGGAAAATATTAGTGGACAAACCTTGCTTATACAAATAATACTGATTATCACCAACATCTCCGGTATCACCAAATGAGGTCTCTATCGCAGCAGCATTATGAGTAAAAACATCCCAAACACTAGGACCTCTGCCTTCATCAGCAACTGCTCCTTCAATCTGATAGGCTGCAGATGCTACACCCCACCAAAACCCCGAAGGAAATTTCCAGGACTCATTTTTGGGGGTTAGAGGTACCTGAGCACCACTTGGGAAGGAGGAATAGTGGAGAGGTGGCGGAGGAATGAGTTCGGACGTTGGAACCGGAGTCGCCGAGACGGTTGTATTGATTGTTGCGGTTTCTACCGGACCGACAAAGAAATCCCATAATTCTAGAATAGATGTTAGTTAGTTGCGTGATGGATTGAGTCATCAAGAACGGGAAGGGAATTGCAAGGCACTGAGACATGTTGCATAGGCAACTATCGATGCGTTAGAAAAACGCCAACGGACTCACGTTGAACATTAAGATCGATACTCGTCGTAAATGCGTCTGCACTATCAACTGTCGTTGTAGGAGTAGCAGTTGTTGAAGCAGACAAAACCGTCCCAAAAGACAATGACCATAAGAAGAACTTCATGATTGCCTCTGATAAAAGAGAGTTCTTAATCACATTCTACTCAAAAACAGCAGCTTTTCAAACATATATATATATACATATGTATATATTGTGGGAATCACCCTCATTCTCCATGCGGGGTAGTCACTTGCATGTATCCATTCTTTTGAGCTGTCAGTCAAGGGTAGGACATTGAACTCACTTGAGCTACTCGAGTATACGGAGTTCGTCCGAGGTAACTAGTGTCACGAGGTCAGCCGAGGGCTGACCGCCATTCCTGTCGGAAGGAGGCTAACGCCCAATTAGGTTAAGCTCGCACTGAAAACTCTGCATATAGTCCCCGCACAGCTTTTGTGTTGTGGCTCTTCGAGCTATGTCTTTTTAATAAACCTGCCTGCCATCTCCGTGATAGCTAGAGATCGATAGGATTCTCTAGAGATACGATGATTAAAGGGATAAGTAATATAAAACGCGCCTAAATACTTTCCCACTTTAGATTTTTGAGCAATCAAATTATATTACTAATTGAAAATTTATATAGTAAAATCTATTCAATAGAAGTATTATAGTGAAAATTACATTATATGAATTGGTTCTTTCAAATCATTAATACTTAATTAATTGAATTCTGATTTCGGAATTTTCTTTAAAGTTTATTTAGAATTTATAAAAACCTTTAAATACTAAACTATAAAACTATTAAAGTTGATGTTACGAAAAACTCCGTGCGTAGCGTACTAATCATTAAACTCTGATTATATTAATAATCCACGCTTACTCAAATAAGCTACTTCATCGCGTATTCAGAGTATAAAAGATAGGTATTGTTGGAACACGTGACTAAGGGCGTGACATTATATGTCACGTTTTACCCCACATACGTACTACATGTATAAGTGGAGTTAGTACACGTATGTATATTAAGTCGAGTACTCTACTTTCTGACCACCCCTATTTTAGGCCACCCTTTTACACTAAAAGTACTTTTTCAGCTTATTAATATCTCTATCAAAATACAATATAATTTATCGAAATTTATATGTATATAATTCAGATCATTTTAAGCTTATTCTAAAGAATTTAGATTTTTAGGATTTTTCTAAATAGAGATCTAAAGCTTTAAAATATCGATTTTTTAATTTGTATGAGAATTATATATAAATTTGAAATCAATTTTAAATCTTCAATAACTTTTTGATTATAATTAATAAAAAGAAACAAATTACTTTTTTGAAAGTTTTGAGCTTAAATCTATATAGAAAATATAAAAAATATAAAAAGGATTAACAGTTATAAAGATATACCTTAAGTAAGAAAAGAATATCTATAATTGTCAAAAGTACTCTTATAAATACTTATTAATTTAAACTTTCTAATTTTTCTAAATGTTCTATATTATAAATAATAAAAATTTATAATAAAAATATATAATTTATTTTTAATAATTTTCATTAAAAAGTTATTAAAGATTTAAACTGATTTGAAATTTATATGTAATTTTTATATAAATTAAAAAATCAATATTTTAAAAACTTCAGATCTTCATTTAAAAAATCCTAAAAATCTAAAATTTTCAGATAAATTTAAAATAATCTGAATTATATATATATAAATTTCCAATAAATTCTATACATAAATAAAAAAGTTATCAATAAACTAAAAAATCGATTCTTAATATAAATGAGTAGCTCAAAAGAGAAGTGACTAGAAAGTAGAGTATTCGACCTAGCAATTCCCTCTTTATATAAAGAGAGTAGAAAGAATGATTATAATCTTTTTACTCTTATACTTTATATATGTACCTTATTAAGTCTACTCAACAGGTATAATCCTTATTATTCCCTATATAAAAGTAATCAAGCGGCGTAGCTATTCTTCGTAATAGTTGATAAAAAGTAATTAAAACCCTTAAAGATTAAATTTTAAAGAGAATAATTTATTATTTATTCAGATGACTTAAATTAGTAATTAGATCTATTAAATAATGAGATTTTAATAAAAGTAGATTTTATATTACTTGTTTATATAACCTCTATATACTATAAGTAACTTACTCATACTATATTTGTTTAGAAAATTCGTATAAAGTTAGTAAGAATTAAGTATCTAAGCTCACTATGAGTTAGAGTTATCTGATTCGTTTCCTTATCAGATTATTCATTAGATACCTTGAAATTCTATTAAATATTGAGGCATTTTACCCCATAGAAAAGCGAGCTAATTGGTTCTAAAGCAAGCTTCAAGTAATAAACTCTACTATTTCTATACGAATTTTCCAGATGAATACGGTACGCGAATACGGGTGATGATGAAATCATATGCAGGTGTTCAACCAATCGAATATGGGATGAAAACCGGTACATCCGGTAAAATTGCGGGGAAGAACAGACGTTTGGGTCGGGTAATTGTGGGCGAGATGATCAACATCAAGGACTAATCAATATGTTATGTCATGTTAAGATTGGTCATGATTGTCATGATTCCGCCAGATACGCGTAGGTATTCCTTCGCAGGATAAAGCTTTCTGTAGATCGATATTTACTCTCCAAGAATGTGAGAAGATGTTAGAAGGGGATCCAACGCAGAGAAGCAAAAAGGTGGATTGAATCATGCAATAGGTAGTATGATGATTGTATGTGTAAGGTCTATCTTTTTGTGTGATTCTGTCCATCTGCTACCACTTGATCGAAACTCAATACGAGTCTGATGGTTCTGAAGTGTTGAGGTGTTCTCCGCACATCACGATTGAGAGTGGTATGTGAGCCCGATCATCAAAGCGTCCCAGGAAAGGACATGATGGCTCCCACTCGAGGTTGGCTGGAAAGCGACTTCAATTTCTTTTTCTTTATTCCTCTCTGGCGGGCCCATATATCACTTGTATAACCTCCAGCGAAATCCGATGGCCACCGAGCGCTGCCGTCCTATTGGATGCAGTCAGAAAGCATCGATACAACATGACACCCTCCAGACTCCAGAGACATTGGAAACATATAGCAGATGGCTATCAATGTGGCCATACAATTGCAGATGGGATAAAGATATAGGTTAACGTGGAAAGCTATTCTTCATTCGAATTGCATTGTGGAACAGATGGCGGCGGGTACCACATCCTTCACAATTTGTAATTCGAATGCCAGATTGCCACCATTGAGCTACTTCGAATGTGCCAGTTCGAGTATCTATTTTAAGAGAAATTCTTCCAGTAGTGCAGTTTGAGATCTCAAGACCTTAATGTTGCGAGAAGACTTTCCAGTTGTGATAAGTAACCCTACGAGGTAAAGTGTATATGTTCAAGGTGTTAACGTTAACTCCGCTTCAAGGCCCAGTCTCACGTGATGAAAATCACATCGTTTTCTATTTTCATTCGCCTCCTTCAACAATTTATACATGTACATATGGTATATATACCGCTACATGGAACACTCAATCATGGAAACGAAGACGCATAGTAAAGACATGTTGGGAATGTTATAGAAGAAAGCAAAAGCTAAGATATCATATCTCATTAATAAGCACGACCCTAACGAGTCCAATAGTGTAATCGTGGTCAACCATGTGATGTTTGCATTTCTCGAAATGTTCCGGACAAGTGCTCCTATTCTAACCCATCATCGTATGTTATCGCTCATAAACTGTGATTAGAAGACGTTCTTATACAAAGGATAGACTCGATGATCTCTCAAAGAATGGGGGACAATCAAACAAACGTACAAGAGACGAGGAAATCATATTGAAGTCAGGCTCAACGCCATCCGATCTTTTTGCTCAAGTAGGATATGCTTCTCATAACAGCTCGTTTACTGGGTTACAAAAGGTATTTCTTCGGCATCCTCATCCATAGGTTCAACCTGACAGAAGCAGTCGTTTCATGCTAATGATGACCTTTCCACATTCATGGGAACACCTACGTCAAATTCATTATCTCATCCTGGTTTACGACATAAACTTTTGAGTTTAGTTATACAAATACCATCTCAGTCTATTATCTCCGAGCTTGTCGACTTATTCTTCTCAGAATTACATTGGTATCTCAAAGTTATAGAAGAGCATTATTTTCGGGATCTTCTCCAGTCATGGCAAGATATTCGTAATACATTAAGTGGGCAATCGGATCTTGGAAGTATCTCTAAAGATCTTCTATATTTTCCTGCATTATTACTCCAAACTCTTGCTGTTTCTTTACAATTCTTACCTCCAAACACAGAAGCATCAAAAACACTTCAATTAAAGACGTTATTGGATTGTGATAGACTTTCTCATGAGTATAGTAAAGCTGGTATGGAGATAATGTCTCTTTTGGGAAGACACTCTTCCACCATAACAGGCGTCGAACATGATTTGTTAAAATCTGGTTGGCTTAAGAATTATAGTCGAGGCACAGAAGCGTGGCATCTATTGGGTAGTGCAATCAGGTTTGTGGTCTTTCCATCTCATTTATCCATCATGCTAACCGAATCTCAGGCAGGCCCAAGATTTAGGACTTCATTTGCAAGCTTCGATTCCTAAAGCTGCGGGAGAGGACGTTGGGATTGGACTGGAGAAACTTTGGTATGACGAATATAAAAGGAGGCTTTGGGTAACGCTCTTCACTTGGGACAGGTCAGCAGCTTGCATTCTTACTTGACACGTTGCTAATTATTGTCAGCCATATGTCTGTAATGCTCGGAAGACCTCGCTCAATCAATGCAAGTGATTGTACAATCAAAACACCGCTTGATTGTTCATTCCCTATTGACCCGTCAAAAACCATACCTACCCCAGCAAGTTTACAGGATCCTCACTCTCCACCATCCACTTATTCGGCTCAACTGTTTCATTATTCTTTAGCGCAAATGATTCATGAACTGTTAGCAGCTGGTGCTCATAGACCTCATATAAAAGACTACTCATTCATCACAAATCTTCATAACAAGATCGTTTCCATAGTTAGCGCTCTACCGCCTTGTTTACGACCAGAAACCCCAGATAAATCATGGGACATGAAAGAACCAAGACTTCCTCGCCAAAGATTGATGATAGCGACTTCAGCGCATTCATTTCTTATGGCACTTCATAAACCTCATGCACCAATCCATCCTACAAGTCTAACTGCATGCATAAAAGCTGCATTAGACTGTCTTGATGCTCAGGATCAATTTTTTAAAGCAATGAAACCAAATCAATATCGAATTTACTCCCTGGCATTCAATACTATTGATTGTGGAATAGTTTTATCTGGGATAGTATTGGAGTCACCAAATCTAGAGAGTAATCTAAAGGAAAGAATAAAACATGCAATCGAGAAATCGATAAAAAGGTTGAGATTAATGGAGGAAAGAAGCCCCATGGCAAAATCAGGTCTACAAATTCTCACCATTTGTCAGGAGAGGATCTTGGACCGTGATGAGAATGTCGATGGGATAGCCAAAAGTTCACAGTCATTGGACCAGAAAGATGGGAGTAAGAGCGTCGCCGAGGAGGAGGACAATGCGGCTACTCAGGAAGTTATGGATCCAGCGCAGGTCACAAATGGCTTTGAACTTCCTCAACCACAACCACTGATTACAAATGGCTCTTCTGTTAACCCCATTGTGGGCTTTAACAATATCGAAATGGATACGTCGTTTTGGGAGGAGATGACACAGATGATTGACTTTGACATTGGCGTAAGTATGGAAGAGGATTTATGGAACCCGAACTACTCGTTTCCGGAGTTGAATATGAATTCTGATAGCGTAATCTTGCCGGGGGTGTGGTATCAAGGGGGTGGGTGATGCTAAAACGATCGAATGAAGATTTGTCTAAATACTAGAACCACTTGAATTGTCATTAAAATCTACAGAACTTCTTCCGTTTGACAAATATTGGGTAATTGTTGACTACCATTCGCGTTGAATACTTTGATGATTTATGATGGATTGATAAATGTTTCAAAAAAATCTCATTGCCTTCTCGGAGATGGCAAGTATTGAGCTGAAATGTATGCGTGAGATTTATTAGTTGACTGGATTGGCAAGATAGCAACTTATGGATCATCGCTAAATACTACATATAGAAATATTTGGAAGAGACTTTCGAAGTTAAACTTTGGTGAATACAATTCAAAGGTTACGAGTTATGATTAGAGAAATACTGAGATGGATGTCAACATTCAAAAGTTAAGATGATGGACATCAAATGGCAGTACGATTTGAGCAAGAGTCACTTCAACAATCTCAAGCATCTCTAATAAAAGTATTAAGCGATTGGGGGTTATATTATTAATCTCCTTGAATCTGATATAGTATTTCGTTGCTTTGTGCTTGGAACATATGTGATATATTCCCAAATTTTACAAAAACAGATCTACATCTACTTGGAAGCTCTCTCCCCCCATTCTCACAATTCACCAGATCTAGGAGGGTCGTTTTGCATATCATCGCAAATCTCTCGCATTCAATAACGGGTTTGAGGTGATACAAATGTAGGGTGGAATTAGGATAGTATCAGATGAAAGGATGAAAGTTTGGGGGCTGCGTTGTCGCAAAGGAACTTCAGATACTATGTCTTAAAGGGCAGAAAAAGAGGTTGTTACGTTTGATGCTATTGCTATACCAAAACTTTCCACGTCTCAGAATTCAAATTCTGTCGATCGCTGCAGTTATCAATCAACAACTGAAAGATAATGCTAGTGAGATGTGGAAAAACTCGAGGATCAAAATAGCCAAAGACTAGTAGAAAGCTCTAGGCAAGAGTATGAACATTCGTCTAGAAATACAGAGAGAAGGGGGAGGAGGTGTGGATTGCTTTCAATAATTCGATAGATTTATCTCCAATATTTTGATAAGAGGTTGCTTGATGACAGTTTAAGAGACCGTGGGAGCTGTTATTACTTCCCAATAATATTCAACTATTTGACTATTTATAAATCACCTACTTTTGATTTTGATTTGAACGTTCTACATTCTACTTCCATCTTGAACAGGATTTTAATTTTTTTTTTGTTTTCATGAAAATGACAAGTGAGTTAAATTGTCTTAGGTGTTAAGACTTGAGTGATACAAATAATGTTGCCCACTAACCCTTTCCTCACTCTTCGACATCTCATCCGATTTTTTGGGGGGGGACAATTGTCCCTTAGTCTCATCTATATCATCGAAGCTTAACCTGGGCTTTTAAGCATGCTTTAATGTACTCAGCTGGCTTGAACTGTAGAATCCACGTGATGCAAATCAAATAGATTTGACGGCAGAAGATCAGTTCATGAGAAATGGCATATCTAAGGAATTGCAAGAGATTTCCGGATTGTAAGAATCGAATTCAATAGTAAATACGTTGCCATACCAGTGGATATAACAGGTGAGCGCGTGCCAGCAAACAGGCGCATTACATCTGGCTTTCGTAGCTTTGAACCTAGATTGTAAGAACGCACAGTACGAGTCGATAAATTAGACCTACTATAAAGACATCATAATCGCTACTGAGGTGATGGTGATACAAGCGATATCAATCATAAAATGAATGAGTAGTTCTCGCAGGATTAGCTCGATGTGTGAGGTATGAACTTGTTCTAATTCAACATAGAACTCGAAATTGCAGAGCTTCACACTGTAATTTCAAAACCCGGCAATCTATTCAAGAAACTATGAAGACTACAGATCATTATATGAAAACTCGGGTTGAATAAACACAGGAGGCGATTCTTTCTTGTGTATCAAATATTGTGGCTATGCATACACTGTTGTTGATTGTACCTGCCACAACACAACAAAACACCCATAAATTATATGACTTCTCGATCCTTCCGTCTCATACACACAAACAAAGTGTTGTAAACAATCTCCTCTTTAATACACCTTCATTGATTTCCACTAAAGTCGTACACATCCTTTACCTCAAACCACGCAACTTCATTGTCTCATATTTTGAATACATTCGAACAGTACCAACATGATAAATTTCTCAAAATTTCACGACTTTACCGCGGAGCTTCAATCTCTAATCTTGAAGCGTTGTGAGCGAAGAGACTTGACAAGATTATGTAGGTTCTCAATTTTCTAATAGCTACATAAACCCCATGGCTGATTTTGTTATACATAGCACAAACATCGCGTGATATGTATGAACGTACTGTGCCAATATTGTACCGTCATGTAAATCTTAGCTCTCATCGAACCACCTCTAATGATCTAATCGACTTAAGAGGCTTTGCGTATACATCTCTGCAACACAAAGACAATGTGAAGCGGCAGAACGCATTCATCGATACGATTCTCAAATTGCCCACGCTAGGGTACTTCGTTTTGACTTTAACTTGGACCATCTATCCGAGGCAGTGTTCAGATAACCAGAAATGCGAGGATAATGCAAAAATGTGGGAGGCGTGGAAGTTGCTATTTCGAGTCAAAAGACTAGACATTTATTCATTTGCTGCTGACTGGGGAGACTTTATTTATCTTCCTGCACAACCGGCTTACGAAGATTATTTGGGACCTTCAGCAATTATAACGCCAGCGGTATTCCCCGAAGCTACTGTCATTCGAATAGGAGGTCTTATGCCCTATAACTATTTCCGCGCTTGTGTTTCGACACCTTCTATTGTAGCTTCTTTGGAGATGGAAAATCTTCAAGGCCTCTTACAACTGAGAGATGGCTGTAATCTTTCATTTCATGTTGTAGTTTGTCGTAATATTGACCATCATTTCTGGAGAAATCAGACAAGATATAAAGAGACTAAGGATGAGAGCGGAATTCCTGTATTGAGACACGCCGGCCCAATGAGAGGGCATCTACAGCCTCTTGTTGGAAAATTTGTGAGATTGGAACATCTTAAAATCTCTACGGCGGGTCGTGAGGTTAGTCGAGATGTTAGATGGTCAGAGACAAGAGAAAAAAAGCGTTATTCCGAAATGGCAAATTTCATCAAATCGGTAGCACCCAAACTGGTTACTTTTGCTTTTGAACAAGGAGTGGGACTTGAACCACTTCAAAAATGGCAATTGGAGTCGTATGATTATACATCCACATCGAGTCAATCGAGAAGGCCAATGGATGATTACTTTTTAAAGTATTTACTTCCAGCATTGTTAGAAGGAACTTGGTCCCAACTCAGGAAATTTTCCATCCAAGGTGTCTGTGGAAATGTTAGGTATGAAACGAGACACTTGCTTAGATATGTGAACTTTACACCAGAGCCACCTGAAGCTCTAGAGTCTGTTATGTACCAGTTGCGTTCTGTCATGAGCAATAGTGTCGCGCTCACTTTGGAGAGGGAGACTCAGAGGGTATTTCACACGTCGTCTTTTAATGTCTACAGAACACGAAATTAGTAGGCTAAAGATGCTTCAAAAGTTCGTTATTGGGTAGGGCAAGACGAGTCTCACCAGGAAATTCGAGTGGGCACTTCATCAAAACCAAAGAGCTACTTATCCTTTGATATGATCCTTTAGTGTTGCAGATAATAATTCAAGCTATCAATCAATCCATTGCTACAGTGTAATTGAGTGTATGAGTTTGAAAAATTACTAGATTGGCTCCAAAACGTGTAGAAAAATTCATGCGATTCAATGAGACATTCGCTTACGTCGTTGATAACTTTAACAAGCTTGCTTCACAACAGCCGCCAAGGATGAAACGTCGACTGGTAGAAGCAATTATTCTGAAATAATAATGTTCATAAGCCAAATGGATTATCGGGTCACATGTGAGGGCATTAATGAGTGACAGATGCTGAGTCGTTTTTGCATCTACATGTCTCCGAGGCTGAATCTAATCATCTGGCTTTCACTACTATTTTAAAGAAGTATTTTGTACTGACTTTTAAGGAATCCAATACGTCTCATTAACCAATCACTCTATTTCTATTCCCAAATTTCACATGCTTTTATTGTCTATGAACTCCACATGAACCGGGATATAATAATCTCAATCGGTGAGACGTCATGCCCCAATTAACATATTTTTCGTTGCATCAATCCGGACGAGTTGTATATTTGTAGGGATGTAGTGAAGTTTTCACAAAATCTAGTCAGGCCCAGACCAGGGGAATAAGAGGTTTAGCTAGCATGATATGCTAGCATGAAGCTTGTGGATTTAATTAAGCTTGTTTCCCCGCTTTGTACTCGGTTCGTATAAGCTCCCGCAAAATTTACGCTATTAATGATTTTGTTGCATTCCTAAACAAGAATATTTTTTTTCTGGTGATTGGTTCTGTCATATAAGTATCTTTAGTCTGGAATTAGTCAACGCAGCTTTAAGCTTCTAGAGGAGTTTAATTTATGCTAAGTTATTCTATCGTGTAATAAACATTCTTCATCTGAAACTGTAGGTCTGCAATTGCTTTCTGGAAAATAGTCACAATTAAGGCACGAGGCAAAGAGGATGTAGACAAATGATATGTACTCGTTCAGATCATATGTACAAAGTTGACTTCCATGTACACAATACCCAAACAAGCGATTTTCTCCAATGCTAACTTTCATCTCAACCACATAAGATCAATAAAGGAGCGCTTCCAATTTTCCTCGCCACCTAATTCAAATGAACGAGCGCTTCAAATTTTTCCTATATCATCATCGTCATCATCATCCACCATCACCCGACTCCTACGATTCGACTCCTAGTGCCTGATCCACATACTCTTAACCGTAAGTAGAGTTAATAGCTCCGACCTTGATGTTACTGTAGACTACATAAGCATTGGGAGAATTTGCTTCAACCGACGCTGGAACTCCCGATGTCGTATCACAAGTACCTCTTGGACCACCGGCCGATGTATGCGTAACAGGGTAAGTAGAATCGAGCCAAAGCATATTGGAATAATAATCATCCCAAAGAGACAACACGAGAACCATACCCTCTTTGAAAGCAGCAGACATGGAAGCAAGACCACCATGGTTGGAAAAGGAGGTGGGATCACCAAAAGCGGTTTTTTGAGCATCGCAGAAAGGAGTTGTGATGGAATTACCGCTTACGCCTGAGATGGTGGAGTAGGAGTTGGGGATAACTTTGCCCTTCTGGACGTAGAAACGTTTAATCTCATTGAGAGTACCAGATGCTGTGCCGTCGGTAGTGAGGAACTAGTTGACATGTTAATTCATTATCTAAGTATATGTGAAAAGACGCTTACCTGGGTGACGACAGTAAAGACAGACTTGGTGTCGACAGTCATACCTGGACCATAGAAGGATTTATTACCCATGCGATAAGAGTTGAAATCACATCCATCTGGATCGCAAGTACCAGCATATCTAGATGATGAGTAGGTGCCACCGCAAGCATCGCCAGTACAGACCGTTGGTGTCACAGTATCACAAGAATGAGGAGTGACAGCAGTGGAAATCGAGTTTGCTTCCCAGATATCCATTTCAGCACAGCATGAGCCGTGATTACCAACACCAGTGTTAGGATTGTTGCTTGCGGGTACCCAACCATCAACGTTGGCCTGGTGCACAATTCAATTAGCTTTATTCTCTTGCAGCATGTATATAGACCTACCTGGCCATTGATAAACTTCATATCACGTGGACATTGTGAATCACAGTATCCGGTGCCATACTGGGCACCAGCCGTATTGGTTGAGGAAACACCTCCATCAGCCGGAAGATTAGCGAAGTAAACAGCACCGTTCAATCCGCAAGGTAAATTGGAGACATCAACATCGAATGTGAACTCCTGATTCAACAGATTGAATGTCTTATAGTGGGTATTGTCGGCCAATAGGTAGACTCGAGACCCAACGTTCTTTGATGATGATTGAGTAACAAAGTTGAGTCTCAAAGAACTTCCACTGGTTGTGATACCATAGGTTCCAGAATAGTCTGCGCCTTCAAGAGCACAGTTCTTTGCACAGGTGGCATCATCTGGGCACAATTTTGCGTCCCAAGTGTTTCCTGTGTAACAATTTGTCGAGGTGCCTACTCCGTGAGTCCATCGCCAGTTTCCATCAAGGACAATGCTTCCAGTGTTTGTGGTGCAAGATCCTTTAGCAGTGCAAGATTGCCAAGTAAGAGAAGGATGAGTTTCCGTTTGATAGGTACCGACTTGTTGACCATAAACGGCCGCGAAAAGAGAGACCAAAGCAATTCTTGATGTCATAGTGATGTATTGTCAGATTCTTGTGTTCATGCAAATTGTAGTTGAGATGAAAGGGACTTGAAGCAGGAAGAACCCCTCGCTTTATACTTCATTTCTCGTCCCACGGATCGTGGTTAAATGTTCTTTCACATACTCAAAGTTCTTGATGCACTCATCACATTCTGACCTCGTCGACGACCGGCTCGGGAGGCCGCTGGACCGACAGTACCAAGAACCTAAGATCCGCAACAACAATCGGACAGACGGTCCGTAAAAGAAGACTACTTCAAAAAGTAGTGATGAATACAAGGGAGCTTGGGTTCAGCTGATATAGAGTCCTGCTAAAAGAAGCTTTAACTTTCACACTTGAGGCCCACAAACATCTCAAAGCAAACAACTACATGATAGTTAGCAATACATATCCGGAATTGCCAACCGATTTAAATTAAAAGACGCGCAACATTTGAAGTCAGGAACATCGTGCATGGAGTTCGTCGGACGTTTTATATAAATTTCTCCGCTAATCCCCCCTTTATATAAACATGCACGAATTACCGTTGCAGAAAATATTTTAGCCGAGAAGCTAAAATTTTATTTCGGCATTCGAAATACACTATGTCGCGCTACGACAATTGGCGTGAAATCCAGCACCACAAAAAAAAGCGCTTTAGCTGTCTCCCTCTAAATTATCTTATTATTTCTTGAGAGCTTAAATCTACCAACACAAACAATTGTTGACAATGTCAGGTATGGTATTAAGACTTCAACAATCTAATCGGTCGGCATATTACCTGTGATTTTCAATTAAGAACTAGGGCTCGGATGTGCGGATCCGGAGCACACTTGTATTGACCCGAAGATACTTTAGGACTTGTGTTAATTTGTTCTAGTAAGAAGTCTGCCGAGTGCCGGGGTTTCCCCAGTTTTCCAACGCAACAATGCATGGCCATCAAATTGCCGAGTGAAGCTTGATTGGCGAAGGATGAATTATCCGTCGTAATCGAGGAGCTAACTCCCCCCCCCTGAAAATTCCGGTCACAGGACCAAAATAACCAAAATGTTGACAACATGAAAAGTTTAAAGGGATAAGAAAAAGCGAGATTGGAAGAAATCGGCGAAGTGGGTCCAACAAGGATAGATGATACTTCAGGAGTGAATTGGTTACCACAGCTATCTTGAGGCAGTCCAAAATATCCCTCGGTGTCAGATTTCATTCTGATGAAGAGTACAAAACAAAATTTCACAGGATATTCGGACCAGTATACGCCTCTGCTATACGGCATACTTTGCCATGGGGACCCCGCCCCTAGTTCTCCATTTAACACCACTTAGGCTCAGGTAGAAACTCTCAATGTCTGATTTATACCTAAAAATCCATCTGAATCTTCCTCGAGTGCGGGGAAATCTTCAGATCGACACTGCATTTAACATTCACTTTTTTGCCAGCTACCACCATGTGAAATTCCTGATTGGGCTCGGACGATGTCCTTCCGATTCGTATTTCTGAGGCTGCTAAATCTCAGGAATGTTCAGAAAGTTCATAATATCTCAATGCTTTGAAGTCTGCTGTCTCATACAAGCCATAGATCTGATTCAAGCAATGCATGCTGATAGCCACCCCATTTTCCATGCCCCCCTGTTTATTCATCAACAGAATGATACCTCGTTACCACTTAATCATCGTATCCTCGATCCACCTATTGGCTCAGAATGTCCCCGTCTTGTTTCCTGATGACATAAGCTGCAATAATGTAGAATATCGCGCATAACTAAGGAGGGTGAACATATCATGAGCGATCCCGAGTGTTCTCTAGGGTATAATCATGTAGCTATGGTTTCGTGATGCTACCCTAGGACGTGAATCAATTTTTCCACCTAACGTTCCCATCAACGAACTTGATATTATCTGTACGCGGATCCATCTTTCCCCCATACTTTTCCGTTAATAGACGCTCCGCCGACTGCATGAACAGAACGCTGCATTGAAGAGACAGAGAGCAGGCCTCGAGCCCCTCGTAAGCCAATATTACCTCTAGCGCTGCCCTCGAAAGCCGATGACTTCGACTCATATATTACAATATAATTTTTGTTGGAATCGCTATCTTCAAGGGAGTCGTAAAGATCACATGTTACGATCTCAATGAACCGCGCGCTTCGAACCAGAGACGTGCTTGGAAGACGTACATTTCTGATGCGAATTGAAGATTGCATTCCTGGCCACAAGAATAATGACATCAGCTTCCGAAAACTTACTCATATGTTCACGACTGAATTGTAGTTGATATGTCTTGTCAATCTGTTGATCAATGATGGACTTACAGTAGGGCTCGAGATTTTGTACTTCATAAGAGGCAAGTAGGGGCGATCTAACTGCTCTGTCTCCGCCACTTTTCAACAACGCCACCTTTCAAAGCGTGCCTCACTTAGAAAAATAAAAACAACCCCTTCTATAGCTGTTGATTCAACTGAAAAACATCATGACTCGGCTTCAACGACAGTTAAGCTTCTGGCATGAATTGATGATGTTTTGTTGAGACTTTGAGGACCTGTGTTGCGACCAGCCGCACTTGATGTCTCAATGGCGCCTACTTGAGCTTTCAAGGTGTGGCAAACCATGACGTAATCAGCTCCTGCATAGATGTACGAGCCTTGACTGATGACATTCGTGATTAAATCTGTAGCACTGACCTTCAAACCCCTAACTGCTTCTTTCTCTGTCCCGTAAGTTGCTCTTATGCCACCCATCTCTGATGAATCACTGACTGTCAATCTTATACTTCATCTCTCCGCGTAGATTTCTTATTACATCCGGATTCAAATTGGCGGGTAAGTCACCAATGACCACATCAGAGGTGTTATCTAACCGGGGTAGAGGTTTATGAGTGACGGCATCTACGCCAGCTTTCATGGCCTGCCGAACGAAACCAGCTCGCAAGCTTCCGATTTATTGTTGGTCTTAACGACAACTGGAAGTTCACATCGAGAGTCATCAGCTGTATTATCTTAACCAGGGAGATACTTAACGTAAGATACTATTCCATTCTACTACAAACCCTTCACTTACGTCTATGACAACCTCCTAATTAACTATCTCTTAGTCATCCGAGCATGATCTCACTTCAATGATTAAACTGTTTAGTTTCGAATGTGTATCCGCAACGGGCTCGTAATCTATGCTGATGTCATATTCTTTCAGCACTTATTGCCGTACATTTACCAACTTTAGATGCATTTGAGTGATCACCGGTCGCACCAAAAGCCGTCGAACCGGGAAGTTGTGTTGTAAGATATGGATTGATGCGAGCCACTAGCCAACCCTCTTTATCAATTGCGATAAAGAATTTCTCAGAGTGTCCACAACTTTCAATCAAGTCCTGCAACAGAGCCTTTGGTTGAATAAGTCTCACTGTGGTAGAGACGTTTCCATGAAGAAGTATGACGGTTCCAATTTTGTAAGCTTCAGTGAGAGTTTCGATGTCTTCGTTGACAAAATGACCATTAGCGGCAATCATGAAAACCTAAGTTGTCATTAGACGAGGGTGGAATTTGATTGCGCCATTACCTATGGGATACGTGGTCGATCCGCCCGTCCATCGATCCCATGATATTCAAAAGATTGAGAGCAGTGAAGTTGGCAAGCATTGGCATGAATCTGAGAGACTTTACAAGGATGAACCATAACTGTCTAATCTTCTTCTTCAGCTCTTAATTTGACGATCGGCTAGTTGCTGATCCCTTATATCTCGGCACCATTATTTTTAAGTGTGTCTAGTGAAGCATGCAAAGAGAAAACTGTCGGTGCCCTTTCGTGTTATTTAATCACGAGGCTCAAAGCTCCCAGTGTAACTTCGCATTTAAAAAGCCGGCCAAGGCGTTTTGGCCTGCCAACAGTGTGGAAGATTACGCACAGGAGTAGTTTTGACTTGACACACAAAGATTAATTTAATAGGGAGGTTGAGGAGAAAGTCACATGATATGACCGGAGATCGGCCGAGACAACTTGGCTGAAGCCCGACGACCGAAGTGTGTCGTCTGAATACAATCACGCCTGCAGCATATTTATCTACTCAGCCAGCCTTTGGTGTTGGATAGGTTAGCTCTATTGTCTGTACAAGAGCGAGGCCGGGTGCAACATGATAACCTTATCTCACGAAATGCAATGCGACATTGCGTTTTGTGTGACGAGAGACTAGCTAAGGCTTCTTCGAGAATTGAGAAGCACTTATAAACAATATGGCTTCCTCCTCTAGAGAACGGAGTCTTTCGAGACAGCCACTGTTGAGAAGAAGAGCAAGTATGGGGTCTCCTGAGGTCGACAAAATCGAAGATAACGCCATCGAAATGAACGGCAATGGAATACATGTCGATGGAACGAAGTCTGATTGCATAAAGAAGAACCTCAAAAAATATGAACAACTATTTGGTATCGACGAAGAATCATCTAGCCAGCCTACAACCTCGAGAAAGGAGTTATTGTCATATTATCTTTATTACAATGTGAGCGCTAATCCACTGTAGGGATTGTTTGTATTTTAACTGTCAATTCTTAGGGAAATAATGGAGTAGGGCCGCAAAGCTACTCTCAAGCCCTTTTTCAAAATGCTTTGAGTAAAGCTGGATGGGATCCCGCCATTTCACCTGTCCAAATAGGTAATTGTACCACGGGAGGTTGTGTAATCCCGTGGGGTAATACTACAAGATCCGTATCTAGTGTGGTTTTGCTTGCCAATGGGATTTGCTTCACCATTATGTCTGTCATATTCGTGGCTTTTGGATCGGTTGCAGACTATGGACATTTTGGGAGATGGATACTTCTATTTCTTACTGTTGTGGTAAGTGGCAAATTACCTCCCTGGTGGTTGCACTAACAGACAAAGTGCTGGGTTTTCCAATACGGGATGATGGCCATTACGAAGCCAGAGCAGTGGCCCACAGCCATGGCTTTGTATATTGTATCATACATATCATACGGCGTTAGTATTCTCCTAAATCTAGCTCAAGTTTTGTATTAACGTTACATGATAACAGGCATCATTGGTGTTCTATTATGCATTGTTTCCTAGATTAGCTCGCTACATGCCTCATGTTCAGAAAGCTCGAGACGAAGAACTCAAAGAAGAAAAAATAAATCAAGATGAGTATGATAGGATAGAGAGCATGGAACGAAACCATATTAGTAATATATCTACCGCCCATGCCAGTATCGGATACGTTCTTGTGCTAGTACTTAGCCTTTCTGTCCTGATACCTATGCAGGGAAATTCTTTTGCTAACAATCTTGCATTGTGTCTCACAAACTCATGTAGGTTTCTGTTCACTTCGTATCGAAGGATATTCTTATCTAACTGGCCCAGATTGGGTCGTTCTTGGCCTCCCTTGGTTCATTTTCCAACAATCACGTCCTGGGCCACCTATTCCAAAAGGCAGTTCAATATGGACCATCGGCTGGAAACAAGTCTATCTCGCCCTTGTTGAAATTCGCCATCTTCCTCAAACATTTACTTATCTACTCGCATTCTTCATGCTTGCTGACGGATTAAATACAACCACTACTCTCGTCTCTATTATTCAGAACGAAGTCATCTCTTTCTCTTTTCTCCAATTAACGTATCTTGGACTTGCACAAGCTGTCACCTCCACGATATCCACTTTCTCATTTTGGTACATTCAACAGTATTTTGGTATTCGAACTAAACCCATGTTCATCATCACCAACATCTTTAGTGTTTTGATCCCACTATATGGCGTGATCGGATTATGGACTGACAAAATAGGCTATCACCATGTTTACGACTTTTGGGTTTATAATATTGTCTTTGGATTATTTCAAGCGCCATACTTCTCATACTCTCAAACAATGATGAGTGAGGTTACTCCTAGAGGATATGAGGGAATGTTCTTTGGATTGTTTGGTATTACAAATAAAGCTGTATGTCATTCTTATCCTTTCCAATCTCTGACTGTGCTTCGTGGAATTCAACTGATCGGCCAGTCTTCAATCCTCGGCCCAAACGTCATCCAAGCTATTGTTAACCATACCAATAATAACTGGATGGGATTTCCATTCCTGTTTGCGTTATGTGCTTTTGCAAGTATCATCATATGGTTCGTAGATGTTGAAAAGGGAAGAGAAGATTGCAGAGTCTATGTCGCAGAGCGGAAAGCTGTCCATACCGTAAGTAGCACACTGCCCGGCTCATTATTCTTTATGACTTTAGAAAATTTTCTAATATATCTATGGCCAGAGTACACAGAGACAAAGCACCGATGATACAGATGAGCAGCAGGCTCAAACGGTAAAGTGATATCTCTACGTAGAGATGTCACTGCGGATGTTCAGTGGAAGAACGATGGTGGAATTTGTTAAGGCGTTTTCTTAGCATTGTGTTTAGAGATTTCGTACAGAGAAATAGATGCGAGTCATGCGCGCCGTTTTCCATAGTCCTTTTTGAAGCAGGAGAACACCAATTTATACTCTACGCTTATTTCCAGTTCGTCTTCTCTACAATTCACAAATGATTTTGACCTTGTGAGACGTGTACATTGCTACACACGATTGCTTATCTCGGCTTGGGCTCTACGGAGAATTCAATACCAAGAAGGTGGATAGCTGTGCTTGTAAGACAAAATTTAATGAGCGCATTGTCTCCGGCGGGACACGCTTAGATTCAACGCGAACAAGACCTAGCAACATACAGCATCACACTTGACAGTTATGGTCAAGATTCAAACAAATAACAAGTTATTGAAGTCCATCACTGCGTGCCAGAAGAAATAACAGTTACTTTGACTTTGATTATATTAAAAAAATCCTTGTATACTATGATAATGCTTTTTATATCACTATGATAATAATATGTGATGGCTATTCTAAGACACCCTTAACCTCTTTCACTAAGAAAATATATCTAGGTTGTTGTCGATACGCCTTATTTATAAAGGGTCTCTTTTTCTATCGAAATAGACTTTTGATATCACCGCTCTATAATTGAGCTCTCACGACTCTTAGGGCTAGTTCGGATGTATAGATCCAGGCAGATTCTATTGGATAATCCGGTTATATTGAAAACGGATTCCTGATTTCTGTTTGAATATTAAATCATAGATTTTATTGAATAATGCAGATTAAAAACGATGATTACGAAAACAGTCATTGTTTTCAGTCAGATAAAGGATCTGGGGATTTATAGACTCTCATAGACTTAGATAGTCTGAAACTTTAATATAAATAATCTAATAAAGCTTTAAGCTTTCTTCAAATTGTTGGTCGCTTCTTTTTTTGCGAACTCATTTATCTTTTGATATTAAACCCTAGAAGTAGCGCATAAAGTGAGAGAAGTCATAACGGACAAGACATAGAGATGAGGGTGGGGTGTGCTATATAAGCACGCCAAAACGTACCCAATGCGATATCGAAGAGATTGTCCTTTAAGAAATGAGTAGGTTTCGCTTCTCGAGTAAACCTGCGGCGACAGCTTCATCCGCTTCGCCATCCATGAAACCGTGAACATATGCCGGTCCCACAATTCGATAATGAGTCCCAAGATCGTCATCAATGAGGTGCGATCCTTGTTCTCGCAGGATCATTGGCACCTTTCCGCCGTCCAACGTCACAATGACATCTCCCTTTTCTGCGTGTGGACGAACCATCATGAACAGACCATTGTTCGAGACGTTGAATAAGTAGTCATCCAAGCTGTGGGGGATGTTTGTAAGCGGTTTTGAAGATGCTGAAATATTTGGCGAATGATTTCGCGGATCGAATCGAAGGCCAGATTGACCAGAATACTCATCAGTATCGCCCAGTAAAGTCTGAAGGTAATAGCCGCGCGTAAGAAGCTCAGTGTTCACAGCATCGAGTGTCTCCATCTCTGACTTGTGCAAGCGGCGCATGTTTGGCGGTGCAGCGCAGTCTCGGGCGAGGGTTCGCCAGTAAGCTCGGATCAGCGTCTCTGCCGGTTCGACCCTGGGGGATTTGGTGGCTATCTTTGGCAGATACAGTTGATTTTGCATATCCTCGAATCCATTGGTCCCGAAATGGAGGGCGAGGATGTGCTTTGCTGAGCCGCAGATTGACTTCATCGCCCACGGGCATTTCTGGATTTCCTGCGGTGATGGCCTTAAAACTTGGCCTACACGATCTAAAATAACGCCTTTGAGCACCAGTATATCGTTTTGCCCACCAGCAACTGTGCATGGGGTATCGAGAGTTTTCAATCCAGCGTTGAAAATATCGCGTTGAGCGAACAGAACCGATAGTGACTTTCTCTGAGGAAGACCAAAGTCCGGAACCCAGGAAGACCTTTGATCGATGTCCTTTCCATGGCAATTCGGATATTTTAATTCGAAGGGGCTCTGGCAGATTATGTCCAGATGTCCGGAACACTCGATGATGGACAGGGTGGTTTGTTTGTAAACCTGTACGACGGTTTTTGAATAATCGATTTCCACATAATGCGGCATAAGCACCAAGCCAAGAAGACCGAATACCTTGTCTCTTGGGTCTGTGGATTTCATGCCTCTGAAGCGCGCAAGAACATCCAGCAAGTCCGAGCCTTCCCTTTCGTCCTGACACTGCGTCGTCAAGGCCTGTCGTGTTACGTTACGCTGATCTTGAAAGAATTTGACGTTCGAGAAAATCTTCTTAAAGAGATCCTTCCTAATAAACTTTGAGAATCGTCCATCCTGATGTACGTGGAAAGCATCGAAATAGGGCTCGTCCCTCAGGAACGATGATATGATATCCCAGTCCACTTCAGTGTCCTCGCAAATCAATGTAACCTTGGTCGATAGTGCCATCTCTTGTACGATCTAAATTCTTCCCCAAAATCTCGTACCCCATGAGGTTAAGAAAGAGCGAAGTGCATTTCTTGCATCGTCGTCCAGTACCAGATCGGAATCTTTATTGTGCCAAAAATCCCGATTCTCATCTCGTTCCAATAACCATTCATTTTCTTTACGGAAGGATGCGAGCGTCGCATTGTCCCTGGCGGAAATCTTGTTCATAATTTCCATACCTTTCTGGATGTTCTGTGGTGACCTATGAGCTCTCAATGAATAGTCCGCATTAATGTAAGCTATATTGCGCTGGCCTTGACTGTAGACCCTGCGCATCAGTAGAATCTGCTGACTACGCTCATGCATGTTGGACTGGTCGATACAGATGCTGTCGATCCAGAGGATCCTTGACTTGCTCTTGTACCGCAGCATCGTCAATATGCGCTCTAACCTCGACGTGATTGGGAGAGCTTGGTCGGCCACGATTATGCTCTTGTTGAACTCGGGTTCGCCCCAAACATAAGACAATGTTTCGTATTTTAATGGCGACTGACTAGGTGAAGATACAAGCCATACATGCCGAAGGATGCCACGTAGTGGCAGACCGGGCTCCTCCGCAGCTTGTAATTCCAGCAGGCGAATCTCTTGGAAGTCTCCATTGAGTGGTGAGTATATTGCCATGGCGGTTCGACTTGTGTCAATTACTTAGTATAAGATGCCCTCAGCTGTATCAGTGACAATAAGATCCATGCGCAAATTATTGATTCTGTACACTGTCCAGGGTACTGAAAGTAGCTAGCTATGCTCATAGCCTTTAAAGACGCGAACGATCGCTGCGACACAGTCTGAGATTTGGCGTCGGTAGTGAGCGGTGGAGTCGGAGGGTCGTTGGCGATGCTTCCTAGGGGTGTAGTGTGCTTGAAGGATTTCAGCAGCGCCGTAGGCGTTGCAGTGAGCAAGTCTGAGGTGGATAGATGTATTTTGATGAACAAGGGGAATCGAGGAAAAGAAGAATCAACGTTTAGTCACATGGTAACACAGCAAGAGTAGCCTCATCACCTAAAATAGATTTGCATTTAGATACAATAAATAACAAATAACTATTACAAAAGCTCACTTTTGTATTGATGACAAAAAGCTACCACATCTCACTCTTTCATCCTATCCTACCTCGCTCTCTCTTCCTTTCGTCCGAGACCCAAACACCTACGACTTCCATCTCTTCCCATCCCCCCAAAATAGAACAGAAATCCAAACCAACCAACCAACTGAATAGGTAGGTACTCAAACCCCCGAAAATATTTCCCTCCAACTCTTAAATCAAAACCCATGGCGAAACAATCGCAATTCTCACCCCCAAAATCCAAATATCTCGGTAAAAAATGGGGAACTTTCGGGATGTGGCGATACAACTGGCCATTCACATCATGACTCGATAAGTGATAAGAAAAGAAAAATCATGAGATAATTTTTTTTCATGCTACGAGTACCGCTAGCTATGTAATCATTCTAAAACGTTTCGGCTATAAACCTGCGATATTCGGGGCTTAGTTTTTTCTTCTTACTTTTTGTTTCTCGGGTTGAGAGAAAAGACAGGGGTATTTCGGGTATGGTTCGGTTCTCATATGTATGAGTACTCATGTAGGGCTTGATATAGAGAGATAGATGGGTATATATACTAGCTACTTTCTCCTTTTAAAGCTGAGATAACTTATATAATTTTCAGTTTAATATTTTCGATTTCGAGAATAGTGAGAAGACCTAGTAGTTCCTGTCAATCATCTCATCTCCTCACCTTCTCACCTCACCTCACAACATCACACTACCTCAAACTCAAACCTCCACAAACATCAAACCGTCTCATCTGATTTCTCTCAACCCTTACAAACCACTCTCCTACCAAGAACAAGAAAAAACCCAAACTACCCCAGAAAACAAACCATGTCCCTTACCCTCACCACCATCTGGCGCACCCTCAAAAAACCCTTCTCCGCCCTCCACTTCGAGCTCAGCTACCCCGAGAGTGCCAGAACAGGTAATGGACCCGCGGATTTCTTTTCTCCACCTACGAGAACCGAGAGTCAGACAAGAGAGTGGGAACGGAGGATGATTAGACGGTAGATACTAGGAGGAGGTGGATTGCGAAATGAGTGATGGAGTGAAGGAGTATTTGTATTTTTATGTAGGGATGAATGTAATTGAGATTTGAGGTGTTAGATTGATTAAGGGAGAGGAGATTGTGCTGGAAGTGATCAGATGGGACAGGATATAGAATTGATCGTAGTGTTTGGGTATTGATCTGGGTACGAAAAAGGGCAGGAAGGACTCTCAAAGAGGGGGGACAGCACACAGGATATGGATAGGCGCATTTGAGAATACCACTTCCCTTTGCTTAATCGCAGAATAATATCTCCGCTTAACATTAATATCTATCCCATACTATCATTCAATGCTATTTCCACGTCCCATAATCATCCCAACGTGCAATCCTTACTCCACTCTATGCAAACTCAACATTTTCCTTTCCTTTCATGTTTTTAATTACTCAATCCTCTCCATCCCATCCTTCCATTATCCACCAAAGTCCATCCTCAAAGCAATCGTGGGTTCTCTTCCTCCCTCCTCGTCCTCATCCATCTTCCCCCTTCCACCCTCTCTACCTTTAACCAGAACTCCCTCCATAAATCCCTTCTGCTCTGCCGTCATTCCTCCAACTACTGCTCTAAAAGCCGTTGGATCAGCCGCCGCCATCTCAAGCAATCTCGCATTAGTTTCCTTCCAAACTTTCTCTCCGTCGCCATTTGCGCGTTTCAACAGTGTAGGTATGACCACGGACATAGCTACTGCTCTTTGTTTGCCATCAAGTGAGACTACGAATGCTGTTAGAGCATGCAATGTGAGAGCTCTGGCATTTTCAGGGTCTTCAGCTGCGGTATTTGTACTGAACGTAATCAGTAGAGGTAAAAGATAACGGGCAATGCTTTGATCTGCTGGTGTTTTGGGGTTTGTGAGAAGGAGACTGCGAATGCAGTTTGCTGCTACTTTTGCGGTCTTTGAAATTCTGTTAGCAGAGTTTACCTCTTAAGAAAAAGGTATCTTACCATTCGATCACTCAAGCAATCGACAACTTCATCCAGGAAACGAGTGACAAGTGGCTCACTTGTAGATAAATGATTTGTTCCACTAGTAAGCAACAATGTTGAAGCAAGGAGAGCGTTTTTGACGCATGGTAGAGATACTTCTGTCTCTCGCTTTTGAGCGTTCATATATATCGATAAGAATCGTTTGAGACAACCTTGTAACTGTATGATACTGGTGTTGTGTTTAGGATTTTGTGTTTTGTATGATGCGGAAACACTCGTGATGAATCGTTTGAGTATGGGGAGCGATTGAGGGACTACCACAGCTTGACAACTTCCAGTTCCAAGAATGGTAGCAAAGATGTGAATAATACAAGCATGCAGATCTGTTTTAATGATCGATGGGAACACTGCAGCAGCATCAACCAATGCGTTGAGAGACACTCTAACCAGAGAAACAGCTTCATCTGTTAGTGGATGACGAGCCGGTTGTTGTGCTTCGATCAAGTTTGGCAGTAGACCAGCAAGTACCAAAACAATAATTCTAGTCAGTTCAAAAAGCTGTTCGATATCTTCCGAAAGATCTTCACCCTCGGCCACGTCCGCCTTGGTGGCCGACGGATGAGAAATGCATAGACTTCTTGCGACTTGCACAATAACAGTTTGAACATCAAGCCCTTCGGTGAGAACAAGTCGATCTAATAGATCCATAGTTTCTGAGAATATCGCCTCTCTATATATCGCATGCCCAGACACACTAGGATGCAAGATTTTCTTTAATGCCTGCAGAATTTCGAGTGTTTGTCCCTTTGATGCCAAAGCCTCACTTCCAGGTTTAGCAACGAGTGCTTCGAACGCAATACCGAATAGAACAAAGAAGAATGCGACTGGTTCGTCTCGGTAGTTGATATCATTCCCTTTCGAATTTTCATTTGTCGAAGGAGCATCAGCTTCCTTACCATCAAGAGCATTGAATACGAATTCACTATCCTGCTCAATAAGACTAGCGATTGCGTCAACAAGCTTGAGCCATGAATCTTGATAAAATCTCAATAAAGTCTCCCGGTTCAACGCAGAATAGATACTATCTAAACTGCCAGACAACGATGGGGGACCTAAGCTCATCGAAATATCTGGCTCAAATCTTAAACGTGCAAATTCTCTTAATGAAGCAAGCCATAATGGAGTTAAAGTGCCAATATATGGTTTGAGGACATCCACGAGATACTTTTGTTCTGTGCTAGCTACTTGCAACTCAGCCCAGGCAGAAAAAACCGCCATCTTGACCATGACCTGAGCATTAGAACTAAGGCCCTTAAGATCTCCAATAGATGCAACTTCAGACTCTGTCGAGAAGTTCTCCAGTGCAGTCACCAAGGTTTTGAGAATACGACCCATTCGATCGACATCAGTAACAATACCAGTAGCAATGAACGCCGCACAAACGTTTACAGCCTCAGAAGCCAATTCGGGCGAGGAGTCGGCAGCAAAAGCTGGTGTTAGAGCGGAACTAATCTGAGCTTGGTATTGCTCTAGAAGTGGTGCTTCTGCGAAATCGGGATCTGCTGTATGGCCAAACATCTTCAACACTGCATCGATTATCTTCAAACCCCAGACTCTTAGCTCCACAACATTAGATGTGGAGGCAGAAAACGCCATTCGAATAACATCGGCAACCCTCTTTTGTAAAGCAACTTCGGCGGGTGAGTTACCATTAGCTGCTAGATCCTTGCTAACCAATGTGAATATTTCTCCCAAACAGCTCATGGCAAATGTTCGAACCTGCCATCTAAGTGGCTCTTGACCTGCAGCAGGGGCATTTGTATCTTTGGTCATACCAGAAGCAGCTGCGAAACCTGCTACTTCTTCATCCTGCAAATCAGGCATGGCACTAACCTTTGCAGAAGCTGCTGTGGAATCTTCTGCTTTGGGTCGCGTCATTGATAGGACAGTTTGGCATCTTTGTAGCCATCGTGGAGTTTCTGTCAAGCAAGATTGTTGTAACCAATTTCGGATAACATTTCTGATACCGTCATGCGCGGGGTCTGAATCTAAGGCTAGCCAGAGTTGGTCTTCAAAGCCAGTCTCGGCCGCTTTCACAACATCCTCCGAATTACGCTTCATAAGATTGTATAGACCGTCAATGGCGATGTCTCTCAGTAAAGAAATATCGGATTTGAGATCTTTCTGGAGAAGGACAACATAATCTACGAATTCCATATGACCTGGAGCATATAGAGCTAAATGTTCTTGACACTTTAAGCTACCAGCCAAGACTAAAATTTTTTCCTCTGCCCCAAATTGACCTACCATAGTAAGTATCAAGTCTCGAGCTTTGGTCATATCTTGAAGATCAGGGCCAAGAACGTTGACCAAAGAATCTATGCAACGTGCGATAACAGCAGTTGTAGATAATTCCAATTCTAGATTTGAAGTAGCCAGGGAAGAAATTTCCTCGTTATGTGTGTCAGAGACATACAATTGGCACAGCATGCCAAGTGTACTCGATACGTAACCCGAAAATGTCAGACCAGCTGACTCTGCGACACGTGATAATGACTCGAGTGCCCAAATATGAACAGTTGGATGTGGATCGTTACACAATGACATCAAGATTCCCAATATTGTCTTCAGATGAAAGCCTGCCGCCATTCCTCCGACTTGAGAATGAATGCATCCGAGTGCCATTGCACAACCAGCCCTAGCGCTCGGTTCACGGTTGCTCACAATGGTATCAATGAGGTGCTTTATTTCCAAGTTGGTATATGTATTACCGGAAATATTGCATTGTCGAGCTAGAGACTCGTAGCCAATATTGCGTACATATTGATCTTGATGGACAACAAATGACCTAAGAATTTCCTGCATGAGCTTCTCCACAGCAGGGTTGGCGAGGTCGCCAGGAGGGGATGATGTCTCTTTCACAGCCACCTTCAGCGCGGAAAACAAGGCAGTCGCAATATTGACATTGATAGCAGCCTTACGTCCAGGGTCTCGTTGAAGCGCACCAGTGGACAAGAATGTAGCGATCTGTTCTAGTATACTCTCCTGAATTTTCGGGGGAGTGATCGGGAAAGCGATTGCGAATAATCTAATAGCGATGTTGACGACTTCTGTAGCAGGCGGGTCTGGTAGACTATCTTCTTTTTGGATCTCACCCAAATATAGCGAGATAGAGTCGTGCTCAAGGGAGCTGCAAATGGGGGATAATAAGACGTTCGATATGTCGATATCTGATCCTGTTTCTTTTATCCAGTCATCTTGTGATCCATTTTCTTGTTCAGAGGCCAGCTTTTGTACATTGAATCCGCGAACAAGGCCTGTAACTCCAAAGCCAGAATTATCACCAACGTCCCAGACAGTTTCGAAATTACCTGCTGAGCTCGCAATAGATGTAGATAAGGAACTCGGACTATAATTCTCAGGATCTGCAAAAAATGACACAGCAAGGGTGAGAAGATTCGATTGTAGTAGTGCTTCACTTCCGCCAACTGGACTAAGCGTAACCAGTCTCGCATAACATTGAAGAACGCGACGCTGAACCATCAAATCAAGGTCTTGTAGTTGCAATGATGGAGTCAATCGTTGGGTGACATCATCCGACAACTTTTTAGATGGGAGACTCTTCAGAAACGCCGAAGTATTTGTAAGCATGGCAGCGATTCGCTTAGAAACATCTGCAGTTAGGAGGCGGCTGTTGAATTGTAGGAACGCCAAAATAGAGCCAAGGGCACATTCTCTAACGTGAGTGAGAAAGGAGGATTCAAGGAAACTTCGTTGGGAAGTATTGTCCTTTGCAAGAGGTTTTGGCAATGCATTCTTCCAAAGTAAAAGTAATTGAGATAAATGAATCTTCACAAAATTCGGTCCCAACGACATCAACCCGCCTATGAGGATCCAAGCGACCTGGATTTGAGTACTTGAGACACGCAATTCCGATTTACTACTAGACTTGAGAAGGTTAGTTGCAAGGGAAAGGACGCGACTATTAACATCAACTGAGCCGTAAAGCGGTTGTAAGTTTGCTGTGCTAATCATGGCAGACAATCCGTTGGCATACCCCACACATCGCCTTGGTGAGTTTCGACCTGTATTCAACAGGTTCAATTCTCGGTTGACGCTGTTCATACAAATAGTAAGGCATGGCAGAAGTTGCTGGGGACAAGCCAGAGTAAACGTTCGTAGACAATATGATGTATATATTTGAACTGTGTAACTTGGATGTTGAAGGACTTGCAATAGTCCATCCCGACAACCTTCAGCAATTACATTCGCAGCTGACCCCAAAGTTTTAATCAACGATGCCAATGCGCTGAGAGTGGCAATAAGTGTATGTTTCGAAGGCTCAGCTCTTTCTTTGATAACTTGGGGGTAGTTTTTCAGAATGTCATTGACCAAAGATTTTGCAGCGTCCAATTGTCCAGATTCACCAAGTATGGAATGGCCGACCACATCTTCGAGGATGATTTGCACAAATTTACGTGTGCTCAACAAACGATATCTATTGCAAGTAATGTTTGCATGGCTTAGAAGTTCCACAGTAAGATGGTCCACAATCTGCATATACATCGTCTCAACCGTTCTTTCGCTCATACTTTTGAATATACGACTGTAGCATACAGCTATTCCGGCGCGAGCTCTGTTAGTTGTAGATATTTTGATATACTGATTCGACAGCACTTTCAATATCTCTTGCATTGTAAGAACGAGTGTTTGACTTTTCTTGTTACCGGTGGGAGTCCCAGGCCTCGAGGGCATTTCATCGTCGTCAAGCCCCTGTCCAGCTATCACGGATGAACGCTTATTGGTATTCGCCCTTTTGATTTTCTTGATCATTGGCATATCATTATCCCGGGGTGGCTCCTCAGAATGGCTTTTCACTAATGCCTCTGCCAAACATTCTGCTGCGGCCTGTCGAACCAATGCGCTGGGCGAATCTATAGTCTTGAAGATCGTCGACTTCAAACTTTCGAAATCGCTGGAATTATCGTAGTAATGCGTATTCTTACACAGACTCCTCAAGCATTTGCATGCAGCAATCTGTACCAAGGCAGACTTCTCACTCGAAGCGTAAGTTCTTGCTTGTTTCCATATGTCCTTTGCGATTGTGTCGTCCATACTTGTCGCAACCATTCCTACAATCTTGCTCGCAGCTTTGAATATCGCCGCTCGTAGACCCGCGTTGTTTTGCGCAGACTTCAATAGCTTAAGTATAGCACTGCATGCCAAAGAATGTAACCCAATTGCGCTGTCTCCAGCGGCTGCGAAGACATCCCCTAAACAGTAAACAGCTGCATGTTTCGTCCTGAAATCCCCGTCTGTCTTTGTCTTCCCATTACTGATAATTGTGACCAGATCATTAATCGTTTCGAACAGCAATTTCCTATCCCCTTCCCCTAGCACATGTGCGAAACATCGTCCCAAATTATTTCGAATGACTCTCGTAGGAGGGGGAGCTGCGAGATTGAGGATTTGAAAGAGCTCTTTCTTGAGGTAAAGCTGTTGAGCGGTGCAGTCGTCTGGTTCCAAGTCTTCCACATGTTTCGTGAGCGTCGAGACAAAATTAAGGAGATATAAGTCTTGTTGTTCCGATGGGAGGGATTGGAGCTTCTTGATGTCTAGCTCGGGGGTGGGCGATGGCTCTAATCTGCCAGGAAGTTCACTTGAGCCATTATGAGAATTTGGACGATCTGTCGATGACATTATTTAATATCCGTTGTATCTGTTGTGTTCAATGTCCGTGTGAAATCTGGACATTTGTGGAGTGGTTCTGGCCTCATTGCTGGCTCCCTTACTTGTACCAATTTACAGAGGTGTTCGCGATGATGATCGAGTTTCAGCCAATCGGAAGCCACAACAATATTTATTTTCAGAGCTCAATTCCCAAGTCTCAACTCAATATTAAATTTCATTCTCGGTATGACAAACATGCCAGCATTTTCTAGAGGTCTCAGACCTTTCCTTCGAACTGATTATATCTGTTCGAAATGTCTACAATTTTCCACCACGTCAGCGGTATCTTCAGGTCACAATCGATGGTCGAAAATCAAGCATGACAAGGGTGCTGTGGATGCAAAAAAGACGAAAGCTCGTTCTATCATTGCGCATGATATTGCGCTGGCTGTAAAATGTGTGTTTTTTGGTATGCCATTTATATTGCTAATGATGCTAACCTACAATTCAAGTACATGGAGCCGATCCATACATAAATCCCAGACTGGCGACTGTCCTAGCTGCTGCGAAGAAAGGTACATAACGGGGTACATTCCCTTCGACATCGACATGCACATACATATACTTACAATGCCATAGCTGGTTTCCCCAAAGCTTCTATGGAAGCTGCCATAGCCCGTGGACAAGGAAAATCTACAACTGGAGCTGCGCTGCAGAAAGCCACGTTAGAATGTATAATGCCACCACAAGTCGCCATGATAATCGAAGCCGAAACGGACAGCGTTAATCGTACGATGATGGACTTAAGACATCTGGTTAAAACTCATGGAGGAACCGTCACACCTACCGCATATCTATTCCAGAAGAAAGGCTGCGTTACATTCGAGAAAGACGAGAAAAATCTAGGCGTAGATGATGTAATGGATGAGGCAATTGAAGCAGGAGCAGAGGATTTAGAAGTCGATGATGAGGGAAATATTGTCGTTTGGACGGAACCGAATATGGTAACTGTAGCTGGGGACGCTCTACAGAAGAAATTCGATATTAAAATTGGAAGTTCGGATATCCTATGGGATCCAAATGAAGACACAAATGTGCCAGTCGACGCGGGGGAGGCTACGGATAGACTCATTTCCTTCATTGAGGCTACAAGAGATAACTCCGATGTCCAAGGCATTTATGCGAATGTGGTACAGGGAAATATTGACGATGGGAAATGGGAAGATTTGATCAGTGGATTGGACTGATTGAGAGGGGTATTATATTTGGTTCAGACGCATATAGACGTAGAATGTAGACTAGATGTACAGTAGGAGGGATTCGTACTTTAGTAAAAAGCATCCCTCACCCCTCCGCCATAATTCAAGTAATATTGAATAATCTGGCTCCATCCTTTGAAACTCCAATCAAAATATGTAAGTCCTCTGCCAGCCCTCTACCAGCCATGCGACATACTCCTCATATGTGCTCATAGAACGCCAGCCTCCGTTGTAGCCCATTTTATACCAATATCGTCCCGTGAAATTCTCCGTCTTCAACTCCCTTCATATACAACCATCCTACTGTTGCATTCTTCGAAATCGTCTTCTTCCTCATTTCTCCTCCTCGTTTGATCCATTGGCGCCCCGCACCCTCTGGTCTCTCAAGTACAGTCTCTTCTGTCTTAACCTCTCAAGCTCTGATTTGATCTCGTCCCTCTCAAACGGTATACGATTGGTCTGATCAACTCTTGGCCAGAAATCCGGAACCGAAAATCGTTGATCGAGATTTGTGCCGTAATAGTACATGATGGCGATTGGGAACATGATATACATGCCGAACTATTGAATTATCAGATTACAACTCATGGAGGGCCATTTTAAGGTGGCAACGAGACTGGGAAATTGGGTAATTGGGATTGTGTATGGTAATGCTTACCTTGAATACTTCGAGATTGGGGCCTCCCATGATTGTAGTATGTGGTCTAGTATTCCGATATAACGACTTTATTTATGTGGATGTCTTCCCTTGTTCCTACTTTACAATCGAAGTTCGATATGAATTCCATAAAAAATCATGCGTGTATCGAGACTTTACAATCGACCAATCATATCATGCGAATCTTGAATTACAACCTTAATCATGGTCAATGAGCATTGGTCGATGAGAATGTCTATTTCTAATTTTGATGATTAAATTCTCTTATTCATGATTGACAGGGGAAGGTTTCAATATCCCTATCGAATTAATTCACAATACTCAATCAAATATTGTCTCATACTTTACATTTCGGTAGTTGGTTTCTCCTCCAGCTGCAGGTCGTCAGGCTTTCCGAATCTCTGATCGCATTTTGGAGACCCAGGCAATCGGCTACCCCACAAATGAGCTTAATAGCTTGCTAAGGTCCCATTGTTTAAACAATTCGAGATCTATTTACAACTTTCTTGATATCCCGAGGTCATGACTGTTGGCTGATTGCACTCGTCTCATGCTTTTTGACACCACTATTCTTCAATTCCAAATCTAACAATCACCGCGGAAGCATTCAAAATGGCGCAAAACGAACCAGTGGCACTCGAGTACAGGGGTAGAATCGCCGTTATCACTATTGATAATGAGAAGAAGCTTAATGCTTTGACTCAGGATGGTTATTATCTCATAGCTAAATTCATGAGGGAAGTTGCTACCCATGATGAAGTTTTCATCACGGTTTTGACAGGAAAGGGTATGTTCTGCACTATCATTGTGCAATAGACCCTGCTGACCTGGATTTCTAGGACGGTACTTTTCAGCGTAAGACTTCCCCTCTAAGTAGTAGTTGCCATATATTGATTAGCCCATAGAGGAGCTGATGTATCGATCAGTAGAGAAAAACCTGTTGGAACTGATCTAGCTCGTCATTGGCTGACTAGCTTCGTCGCGAATAACCTCAACATAACCAACGCATTCTACACACACCCAAAAATCCTTGTAACGGCCCTCAATGGTCCAGCAGTCGGACTCTCAGCTGCTTTAATCGCTTTCTCAGACTTCATATACTGCGCACCTCAGACCTTCCTTTTGACCCCCTTTTCTAGTTTGGGACTCGTCGCAGAAGGAGGAGCTTCGAGAGCTTTCGTCCAACGATTAGGAATCAGCAAAGCAAATGAAGCCCTTATTATGAGTAAGAGAATCACTGCCGAAGAATTGCTCTAAGTTGGGTTCGTGAATAAAATTTTCGATGTTGAAAAGGGAGAGACCGAGAAATTTAAAGAATTGGTATTTGAAGAGATAGATAATCGGTTGGGGACGCATTTGATCGGCGATAGTTTGATTAAGATCAAGGCGTTGATCAGAAAGCCGGAGAGAGATTTGCTTGATGCACAGGGTGTAGCGGAGGTGTTCGGTGGGCTGGAACGATTTGCAGCTGGCATACCACAAGAGGAGTTTAGAAAGATCGCAAGTGGTGAGAAGAAGCATAAGCTGTGAATATTTGAAATTTAGAATGTATAGAGAAAGGAATAGTAAGGGTATATGTCTAACCTTAAACATTCATACCAATTGATGTAGGGCTCCAGCCCAATACAAATAATTAGAACCGTTTATATCCCAAGAACAAGTCCATTCGGAAGGTAAGCTCTCTGATTGCGCAACGCCCAATACGACCGTTCAATATGTAGTCGGGTCGAAGTCTTTTAGTGTGTCGTCTTGTCACGCTCATCTATCGGATGGAGCCGCAGATCCTTCGCCATTCTTTTCCATTGCAGCTTTTTGTCTCTCTTCCTGCTTCTGCCAATGGCCGCCCTCCTTGTAATCCTTAGAGATACCCAAGGCACTCCTGAACTTGTTATCTTGCTTGATCTTTGCTTCTGCCAATTCGTGGACTTGATGCATCTTTAAGCCTTTCCTACTTGGTCCGTTACCTCTTTCCATCTCCTTCAATAGCTTCTTGCGTAATGCCTCTTCCTGTATTTCGATTTCTTCTTCATCGACTCTGTATACATCATTAGCTCCTGGGCGATTGATGAATGTATCCAAAAACGTACCCCTCTTCCTCTAATTTGTCGCGCAGCTCAAAAACCTTGACCTCGACTTCTCGTTTTCTATCATGCTCCAGGATTCCTTTGTCTGGTTGTCGTTGTCTGTGTCTAAGACTGTCGATATCCGTAGGGTATGGCTTGCCTTGATCGCGGGGTTTGATGTGCGCAAGATTTCTTTGGACGTAACCTGAAGTTCCACTTCCTCTGGGTGTTGTAAGACCGACGTTGGAAGACATGGTTGCGAAATGTTCAAGTTGTGATATTAGTTGTTCTTTTCCAGATGATTGCTGGCCGGTGAGAAAGCTGGTGGTGGGTGGAGTGGAGAACAACTGACAAATCCTTGCTGGTGCAGGCGGTCTACAGCTAGCGTGGCAGAATCTTCCAAAAATATTGATTGCCCCTCGATAAGATGGAACATTGATGTGAAGGGATCACTCTGAGTCACAATATATACGTTCTTCAGATATCATCATTTCTTCTAGCTTTCTATATCAGCTCAGACACATTCGCACATTCGAAGTTTCTACATGAAAAATGCCAGCTCCCAATAGTTCAGAAGCTGGAGTTACTGAGCTTGAACCCCTCACTAGACTTCCTTTCGAGCCTATCACTAAATCCCACATTTTGAACTGCTCATACGACAACTGGCATGCAAAGTATGTTTTTTCCTCCAATTTGTTCGTCGAAAGATTGCTAAAAAAAAATATCAAGATATCGATCCTCATCTCTCAAATCTCGAATCATCCCTCTCACTTCGGAGTTTCTTTCATACCTACGGGAAGATGGCATAGTTCTTCCATCTGAGATTGCCACATTTCCTCCACCAGAAACATACAACAACAATTCAACTAGTGATGGCTGGGACGAAGATACAGATATGGGACCCGACCCCTCGGAAAAATTTACGGAAATTCACAAGCAGATACAAGACACAATCGCAGAACTTGGTGGATCAGTGGTTCCCAAACTCAACTGGTCTGCTCCAAAGGATGCCACATGGATTAGTCTAAAACAGAATAGCATGGAATGCAATACAGCAAACGACATTTACCTTCTTCTCAAATCTTCCGACTTCATTACCCACGATCTAGAACACGCTTTCGATGGTTGTGTAGAGGATCCATCCATTACAAAGGAAAATACACAATATGTCTTAGTCTTACGGAAATGGTTTAAAGTTAATCCATCATGCGAATTTCGATGCTTTGTACGGGATCGAAGAATCATTGGCATGTGCCAAAGAGATTTAAACTATTTTGAGTTTTTGTTTCCTCTTGTTCCAACCCTAAGAGAAGTCATTCAAGAATACTTTGATAAAACTCTCAAAGATACCTTTCCAGATCGTAACTTCTCATTTGATGTTTACCTACCGGATCCATTTGATAAAGTACGACTAGTGGATATAAATCCGTGGGCTCCTCGCACGGATCCTCTCCTGTTCTCTTGGCTAGAATTACTCACCCTTTCTGTACCTTCGCCATTGCTTGGTGTGGCAGACTCATCATCAGTACCGCCGTTGCCTGCTCAAAGTAGTGATGAGGATGAGGGAGCTGATGATGTCGAGGAACTCGGATGGATGCCCGAGTTCAGATTAATAAAGAAAGATGACCCAGAAGCATACAGCTTCTCAAGTCCACAATACAGTGCACACAAGATGCCACAAGAAGTGGTGGAAGCTGGTGCAAGTGGAGAGGGTGGTATGAGAGAATTCGCGGATAATTGGCAGAGGATGTTGAACGGCGAGCTAGAAATGATGAGAGCTGGCGAAGATAGTGAAGATGACGACGATGATGATAAGACGACAAGGTAGAGGCAAATATTACTTGGAAATGATTACATACAATATTATCTTTGCCATCAAGATCTGTCATATCTGCTTAATTTGATGGGGCGAGAATCTGAAATTGTTCTTCATGCACCGAGGCGTTTTACTTGTGGGGCAAATGTGTAGGATCCAGATTTCCAGATTCATCGGGAATTCGGGCTTCCCCACAACCGATGATTTAATCGTCAGAACCTTTGGTGGGTCAAAGAGCAATATCTTTGTAATTCAAGATGAATTTGAAATTTTCCATCTTTGTTTTTTCTCTTTCTTTATATTGTATTCCCTTTTCCATATTTCCTATTCCTCTTTCCTCTCTTTGATTATTTCCTCGATCTCGAATCAATTATGTCACTCCCAACCATCAACAAGCAATGGACAACCCAACAGTCCGGTCTCCAAGATCTTACTCTAGGATCATCTACAGTCCCAACACCTGGAGATGGTCAAGTGCTCGTTAAAATTCACACTGTAGCTTTCAATTATCGAGATACTGAAGTGATAATGGGGCTTTACAACCACCACAAAACTACTGGTAACGAGTCCTCGTCTCTGGTTCCCTGTTCCGATATTTCTGGAACAGTTGTATCATCCAAATCCTCAAAATGGAAATCTGGTGATAAAGTACTTGCAATTTTTAATCAGACACATGTTCGTGGTCAAGTGACTGGAAAGGATATGGCTAGTGGATTAGGATTGCCTACCGAAGGTTGTTTGCAAGAGTACCGTGTATTTGATGCCGAGGGTTTGGTCAAAAAACCAGATTATCTCACCGATGAAGAAGCTTGCACGTTACCAATTGCTGGAGTTACGGCTTGGATGGCAATCAATGGCATGAGGCCGCTTGGACAACCGGGCGGAAAGGGAGAAACAGTATTGATTCAAGGAACTGGAGGAGTAGCAATCAGTGGATTACAAATTGCCAAAGCCAGTGGCATGGAAGGTAATTCTAAAGTCTCATCCCAAAGTTCAAGCAGCTAAAGGTTATCTAGTAATTATAACTTCTTCTTCCGACGCCAAACTCAATCAAGCAAAAGCCCTCGGTGCAGACCACACAATAAACTACCGTACCACACCCATCTGGTCCGAAGTAGTGATGAAAATTACTCAGAACGAGGGCGTTTCCAATATTTTCGAAACAGGCGGTGCCTTAACGCTTCGCCAATCATTCGATGCAATCGCTTTCGGCGGACTAATTAATGCTATTGGATATCTCTCTGGTAAAGAAGATGACAATGCAGATCGTACGAATACAAATGTTCTTGCGTTGAGAAGAAACGTTACGTTGAAGGGGATTCTGAACGGACCAAGAGAGAGATTTGAGGAGATGTTGGAGTGGTATGAGGAAAAGAAGATTAGACCGGTGGTTGATAAGGTATTTAGGTTTGAGGAGGCCAAAGAGGGGCTGAAGTATTTGTATAACGGTGGTCATTTTGGAAAGGTGGTTGTGAGGATTAGCGAGTAGTACTTCAATGACTCCAAAAGTTTAAAGGGAGTACATCTAGTTAATGGTCAATTGACTTCTTGATCGAAAAATTATCTTTACCCACTTCATTCGTTCGCGATTCTACTTTCAGCTATCGTTGATTTGAGCACTGTTTTCCTTGCGGCTGAAGTGATTATATCCAATGCGAGTATCATTGAACTGTTGGAAGTGAATGTGAGACTTGAACATTTCGTTCTAGAAACTCACATTGGAGAATAAACATAAGTCGATTGATCAATCCCGAGTAAATTATTGAAAGGGTATATCTGAGGCTTCGTTTTGGTGAGAGCTCTTATGTTTGAGATAGGGCGATTTTAAAGTAAATAATTGGAAGAAACTCCGGATCAAATTCCATTCAAGCTTAGAGATGGAGGACTTTTCTCGTACTAGTTCGATACTTTTGATTGTTATCACAAATGATTCCCTTTCCGTTTTCAATTTAACTCTCAACTCTTTCGTACCCGAATGTAATCTTACAATACACAAACAATTTTATAACCAATTTTATAAACATCTTCATTCTACAATGTAGATATAAACACTGCTTTTTACCATCGGTTTCTACATCTCTCATCTTTCTAATATTCTGAAATACTCGCACAACGTCAAATCTTCTATGATATTGCCTTGGGATCTTTGTTTCTTTTAACGACGTCGTCCTCCTTCAGAGCCGGAGCCCGTGCTTCTGTGAGATTCAGATCCAGTGCCTGTTGTATCAGTTTTCTTTATTTTCTTCACTTTCTTTGGTATATCTGATACGAAAGTACCCGGATCAATGTCTTCTCGCTCAGGATTTTTGCCTTTCGAGTAATTATATTTCAAGGCATTAAGAGCGTCTTCGGTTGAGAGAGGACTTGAAGATGAGATATACCCGGCTTCGTGAAGGTCATTAATAATGGTTCTCCTGTAACGAAAAATTAGCTTCGACGTTTGTGAATTTGGCATGCGTCATTTACACCCAGTGTCTACAGCCCAGGCCACTGCGAGCAAGCTTATACTTATCACGATTCTTCTCTTCGACCAGCCCTAAAACGTGCCCAACTGTTAATCCTCGACCCGTAGCTTTGAGATCGAAGTCTTTCAGCGAGCTATTGGTGTCTTGATAACTGCAATATATCGTCTGATATGTGCCCATTGTGGCGTCTGCTGATAATTTTGCCATGTTAAGACGGACCGAAGCATTATTTGATGTGAGAAGGTAGATTGAGGCATGGTTTCCACTGCGAGTGTCGCTTGGGAAGAACTTGCCTGTGGTATGAACGGTCACGCGGATTTTTTGGATCTTAAGTTCATAGTCACCTTCCTCGATATCACGAGTAGCTGAATTTGATCCCCGAGGTTTGGTGCTCGAACTTGAAGGCTTGATATACTTACGGGAAGACATTCTATGTCAAATTTGGAAGATTTGGTTGCTGTGGTTTGTTGGATGAAGCTTGATGTATGTTCTGTTTGTCTGTTTGAGCTTTTTCTGGAACTACTAGCTTGAGGAGCTTTTATATAAATACACCATGTGTTGTAGAATTGCTCAATCGTGAAGATACTACTTACGCTGCTAAGTATTCAATATTCATGGTACGATCCAATGGACACCAGATGATTGCCATGGCACATAGCCCGCCGACGACCTGAATGGTATCCAGATGGATTCGTATAAATATTGCTCCGCAGGGAGCCAGAATACCGAAATCGTAAGAGAAAATCACTTGTAGGATCCGGTGATAAAAGTAGTGGCCCATCAAACAACCGAAATCACGCAGTCGTCAAATACAAGCACTCAACTTTGATTTAACAATAGGAACATTGAGATCCATTGCAATAGTCTTCAGTATCCAAGACTGGATATAATAAACGAAAGAGGCCTTACCTGGTGCAATTCTGTGCTTCAAAACAATTTCAATGTTTAAAATTAGACGCGATGACCGTATGGTCCTTACGTGTAATCGAATGTGAGGGAGATCCCACCGCTTGGTCGATCATCAAATCCACCCAGCCATAGGTTTTTTTCCTCACGTAGAATTTATTGCTAGTCTTCGTATTCGTACGTTTGAGGGAGTGGGAATAGCCCAGTAATCTTGGTGATTCTCTTTAAGGCCGTTCTATTCATTGTATTATCACTTGAGCGAGTCGCCTTGAAGACCGGACCGGAAATTTAGCGAATTTCGTTACGAAAGTCAACTCAAAAATACCTAGCTACTTCGAAATGTAAATCAAACTCAACATCATAATTTTTCTCTTCGAAACTATAGTACGATATTAAGTACTGATTTCACAGATTGCATAGCTTTTTCCGGAATCTTCTCTTTGGAACGCATGTTTTCCTAATATCATTTCCAATTTTGAAGGGATTGCAGAATGTTGGGTCAGATCGCGTATATTGCCCGGCCCTTCAAGAGACCCGCTCTACGTAAGCGAAAGAGATGCCAGAATTGAATAAGTCGGGTACCCTACTTTCAAGCCACCCCCCTTTTGGGCCACTTTTTACACCAAAAATGGAATTTTTAACTTTCTTATTTATAAATAGAATTTATTGAAAATTTATATATATATAATTTAGATCATTTTTAGTTTACCTTGAAAATTTCAGATTTTTAGGAATTTTCTGTATTGAGATCTAGAGCATTAAAATATCGATTTTTAAATTTGTATAAAAGTTATATATAAATTTGAAACTTTTATAAAATCTTTAATAACTTTTTAATAAAAATTATTAAAAATAAACTATAAAATTTTACTATAAATTTATAACATATTTATTTTGAAGGATTTAGAAAAAAAAGAAAATTTCTTATAAATAAATATTTAAAAAAATACCCTCAGAATTTTAAGGATTATTTATACTATTTTAAACTCATTATATACTATATCTTTATATCTATTGATTTTTTAAAAAAAAAATTAATTTCTATATAAATTTAAATTCAAAACTTTCAAAAAAATATATAGTTTTTTTTTAATAATTATTATTAAAAAGTTATTAAAGATTTTATAAAAGTTTCAAATTTATATGTAATTCTTATACAAATTTAAAAATCGATATTTTAAAGCTTTAGATCTCAATATAGAAAATTCCTAAAATTTTCAAATTTTCAAAATAAACTTAAAATGACTTAAATTATATATATTCAGATTTTTATTAAATTAGATTATATATTGATAAAGATATTAATAGGCTAAAAAAGCGATTTTTGATATAAAAGGGTGGCTTAAAACAGGGGTGGCCTGAAAGTAGGGTGATCGACTTACCTACTGGTACATCAATCTTATGAATTAATTAGAATTATAAATCAAATCTCCATGAAATCATGAAATATGAAAGGATTAAACGAAAACTCAGCCAGCATTTTCTCTAATTTGTGTAATCAAAGGAATTTGGTCCATTTATTAAAATGGATTACCTGATTTATAAAGACTTCGTAAAAGTGTTCAATTTCGGCCGCCTATCTCCCCTGCGTGGTGCTAGTTGGCATGTTTCCGGGGCACGGACTTCTGTCAGGGCGCTTGGAATTGAAGGCCAATCTGGTGGTTGAGATTTTGGAATTTATTAATCGACTTCCATCCGAGCGACTGATGTTACAAACACAAACATTTTGTTATATCATCGTCTTAGAATTGATCAATCTGCAATCAATGTACCAGTATGGCAGACTTATCGTGGGATATCCAGACAGTCAGTGAAGAATGGCTGGTTGGATTCTGCGACAGGCTCGTGAAAGAGGATAAAATAATCGGAGGCTGCTTTGGAGGGGATAGAGTAGTCAAACTCTCGGACACTATAGTAGCGAAATTTGGAATCGGTGTCATCGCTTCTGAGGCAGAAACTCAGAGATTTGCATGTCGAAATGTCGATTCGAAAATGGTTCATATTCCCCAAGTTTACCGCTACTTCAACTGGAAAGATTTTGGCTACTTGTTCATGCAATATGTGCCTGGTCGACAGTTAGATGAGCTCGATCTTGATGAATACACCGATATCATTCCCCGCGTTGCTAAAATTATCGAGCATCTTGGAACGATTCAGAGCGGGCAAAGTCCAGGTCCCATAGGCGGGGGTCAACCACAAGGTTATCTTTGGGGTGATAACGGTGCGGGGACAAACTTTACCGCCATATCAGACTTGGAAGCTTGGCTGAACAAACGTTTGGCAATACGTGGTAAATCTATCGATTTGACCTCACATCCACTTGTTCTGTGTCATATGGATTTATGTCGACGCAATATGATTCTGAGAGACGACAATACGATTAGTCTCGTTGATTGGGGTTGCTCCGGACTGTACCCTCGACATTTCGAATTTGCAAATCTATCTTTCATGATGCCGTATGATGAAAGCTACGAAAAGCCATTGATACAAGCTACGGCCAGTTTGCTTAGTTGGACAGACGACGATAGAGACGTGATTAGTCTCTTAAAGCTTGCTCGTGCTGTTGCCTTGCGATACTCACTGTAAGTTCAGCAAATTATTGAATGGCTTAAAATACCATTGATCCTAACGGTTTGAACAGGGACGATGAAAACAAATATGGCATGCCAAAGAGTCTAAATTCTTGGTGTCCACCGCCCATGCTGAGCCGATCGCCCAGCCCGTCATGATGAAGCCCGAATGAACTATAAAAACTTTTGACGCACCCGTTTGTCATTTGAAGAATCTAATCGCCCTGGCTCAGTTGAGAAGTATCGACGAGTATGATCCAGGTAGTAACCTTCATTCCTCGAAGGTTCATATATGAGTCATATAGTTTCTTTGCCGAGTGGATTTGCATATGTGAGTTCCTCTTACTTCAATTATGAACAACACAGAGGGAACTCATATCATCACAGTAGCAAATAATGTATATCCGCTATTTTTGAAGATATTATCCGACCTTGATCTGTTGTTTTCGGAGTGAGGTGCCAGTGAGCTCACAAAGAGAGGTTATTAGGGAACATAGTTAGATTTATCATTCAAGTAGGTCTACCAGTCTGTAAGCCTCCTTGTGGGCATACGCAAGGAATGTAAAAATAATAGTATTTTCAGAATCTTACCATTAGAATCTTGAACTGAAAGGGCAGCAGTCTTAATCCTTATAAGCACTATTCAGGGTACCGAATGTTCAAAGTGACAAAATTGTAAGCTAGAGACGGTAGTCACATAGCTTATACGTTGTACTATATACTGCTCGCTAGAAACGCACATATTCAATCCCCATCTCTATGCCAAATCATCGATACCAATGACATAAAAGTTCCGTCTTAGATTTTCCTCGGCTTAATGACCAATTTAACATCTTCTCCAGGCATCGGTGCCATTGTTCCAATTCCAGCCGTAGCGTCATCGATGCGTGGAAACTTTTGATTGGCGGCGTCAGTGTCCAAAGTAACGTCGTATCGAGAGAAAAGAAGAGCCACAATGGTATAAACTGATTTTTTAGCAATAAAACGCCCTGGACAGAGTGTATGGCCACCGCCAAAGGGCCAGAAATTTTGACTGCGTGTAAGGCTTTTATACTTGAGAAGCCTTTCCGGGTCAAAGTCACGAGCTCATGGTCCCCATACCTGTCCATCGAGATGAAGTTGGCGGTATGTAATCTAGGTCGCGGTATTAGTTTGATGGACCGCAAAAGAGAAATCGCTTGCTTACCATAAGTTTTGTGCCTTTCGCGAGTACTTTCCCATTAAACAATGTCGGTGTGATGACTTCGCGAGCAAGTACTCCTGCCGAGTTTGTTCTCAGGACTTCGCTGAAGAAACCTTCGAGACGTGGACATTCTTTTGTAAAATAGTTGAGATCTAATGTTTCTCCATCTGCTCCTATAGCTGGGGCTACTTCTGCGCGGATATGGTCAAGTAATTCTGGGCTATGGACGATGTGGGCTATTGCCCAGAATGCAGCCTTGTACACATTGGCCTTAATCCTATAACTTCATTAGCTGTTTCTAATAGCCTTGAATACCAAATTTACGCCCATAAATGTAGCATATATATTCCTGCAGTCTCGCGATCACTCAAGCCAGCTGCCCGCATTTCTTCTTCCATGGCCGTTACAAAATACAGTGCATCAGACCGGTCTTTGTTAGGCGTCTCAAAGTATTTGCACAATGTGTCAATAAATTCGCTTCTGGCATTAATCATATCTCGTGCCATGAAGTCAGGTAGTCTGTACATCAATTTCCAGTTTGTCGCTTCCCATGACATCATTGTTTGTAGGAGATTGGGATTTGTCTCGAAAATCTTGAGTCCGTAATATGGCGAACTCTTCTCAAGACCCGGAATTATTTGTTGGGCGAGGTTTTCAGCATTGGCCGCCGTAAGTAATTGCTGACGGTGATATTCGGAAGTCATCTCGTGTGCTGACCGGGTGGGAATTTTGGAGTCTGCGGTAGCTAGCTGCTCATGAGTTTCACCCCATACTTGGGAGATGCTTGCGGGAGATAGGCCCACAAAAGAGTACATATCTTTAATCAAATTGTCCCATTTTATTGTCGAGATATTTCGGTAGAGTTCTTGAATACCGTTCGCTCCAGTGATCACACAAAGAGTTTCACCTGCGAGTGTAATGGAATATAGAGCTTCATTATCCCCTAAGTGCATTCTGACCTCTCAGCGCTTGTTTCAGCATATAGGAAGTTCCACAGATTATCAGAGCACATACATCTCACGCTCTAAAACATCATTCGCATTCCTATAGAACCCAAAAGCGTGTCCCTGAGAAGCCAGCTTGTTCTTCCAAATGGCAAATATCGAGCTGGATTGCAGTTGTGCTCAAACGTGATCTCAGGAAACTGCTCACCTAAAACTGTAAGATTGAAATGTCAGCGCACACAGAAAGCTTATCAATGGGAGTTAGTTGGCCCACATGGATTCCAGTATGGCAATTCTTCAGGATTTTCTGGATGCAGCCATGGAGTAATCGTGAATCGAGTGGACTCTACAAGAATGTAAAAGGAGGAAACAAACAATCAATGTAATTAGATTATTTCCAATGACTTGCAATGGAAAGAAAGGTACCTTCATTCTGCTTGTATTCATGCGCGAAGGTCGCGAAGGTTGCTAAGAGTGGCAGTCTCTCGGAGATATAGTAATACTTTCTTAGTATCTGAGTAGATAGATTGCTATGCCGTCCTCGTTTCCTTGCCTCTATCAGATTCTCGGATCCCTGTTCATCTGCTGTAGCCAAAACTCTTTTCAATACAATGTGCTGCATATTACCGATGTCAATATAAATTTTTGGCACATCTATCCCAAGGTATGATATGGTGTGGATATTAGCATCTCGATTTCAATAGTTAGCATCGTCTATTCTTTGTTTTTATTCAATAATTATGAGCCTAGACTAATCTCTGATTCCCAATAGGTTGGTAGCAAATACAACTCCTTAGTAGATTAATAGGCAGTATAAATATAATGCTCTATCTACGATACACATATACCAATCAAATCTACGTTTGATACCTTTTTGTTGACTTTGTTAGTCATTACAGTTCGCTGACTTCTAACAGATACTTAAAGGATTGTTGGAGTGGGTTCAATTACACTTTAATCTAATCTCAGGTTAAATGGCTATCTATTGACTTTAGAGGCATTTTCTATATACTCGATAGAAGGCTTTAATGTTGTGAGCCACCATCGTAAATCATGTAATATTTAGAATCTCATAATAGGAACTCCATAACAATAATGAAATGATGTGCTACTTTACAGGTGAATTCCTCGCCTTCCTTGTCTGACCGTTCGCCAAAGATACCCTTTTTCTGAGGCTCTAAGCATGTCATTGAAGGAAACTTGCTTGCACTAGGGCTACATACTCGCAGTATTCTTTACAGGTGAGTACTATATATATATATTTGCAGTATTTTTCAGGTGAGACATAAGAAACTGAAAATGTCCTTGAGATCAAGTCTCCTTCAATTTGCTTGCAAGCTTATCCAACCCACAACCCATCACCATGAAACCATCCTTCATTTTAAATATTAATATAAGATCTTGGTATCGTCGACTACTTAATCACAAAGCTTACCGAAATTCCCTGTAGTGTTATAGCTGATCCAAACTTTGTCCATGTAGCGTTTGCGCCACACCAAAACCTTCAATCACTCTTTCGGCCAACAAAACTACTCACAACTTACTCTGCATACTCTATTATATTCATTCCAAAAACACTATCACCACCGCAAGCTCGTTTATAAATAATATCCTTAATAGGACTGTATAAAAGTCTTGAGGAAGCTTCCAGTCCTCGAAGTAGGTCTGACCATTTGTTTGGACCGCACCAGTGACAATAGATAACACATGAACGCCAGATGGTTGAAGTTCAAGACATAGCGTTTCGCTGAGTATTTCTAAAGATCTTTTTGATGTCGCATAGAGGCCTGGAAGTGTTTATTTAGCAATTGAGGAGTCATATCGTACGTACTAACATATCCATATAAGGAACATTCACGTAGCCTGAGATAGAAGTGACGTTGGTTATCGATCCTTTTGCTGAAATAACACGAGGTGCAAACTTCTGGATAAGCATCAAAGGGCTCCAAACATTGATATCGTAGATTTTCTTTGCTTCATCTAAATCAATATCGAGCACTGGCGAGAAATGGTTGCGCCCCGCGTTCTTGATGAGAATATCAAGAGAGCTTCCACATTTGTTGCGGACAAACTCCATCGCGTCCTGAATCCGTTTTGGGTCCGTTACATCAAACACCAAGTAGGTTACGTTGGACAATCACTCGAGCGCTGACATATTGGAGATATCTCAAGCGCCAGCAAAGACTTGAAAGTACAATTTTCTGGAATTTGAGCGCGAGAGCTCTTCCGATACCACCATCACTGCAGCCTGTGATAAAAACAGATTTCTCCAACATCTTTGAGGTTTATGTATTAAACCTGTGTTGCTACTGATTTTAGGCTGACGAAAAGCAATTCTTATAATGGAATAAAAAAATGTGGGAGCATGGAGCATTGCCGTAACTTTGTACTTTTTTGCTGAGCAATAAAGCCAACCGTTGGCTGACTTGCATCGCAAGGTGTTGATAGTGGAACGCACTTCCAACAATAACTCTGAATGGTCTCATTATTGAACTTTAGATTGCTTTCTGGTGAGAGTCCCGCATTTCGGTTGTTCCTTGCGATTGAATGCACCTTACTTAAGGGGAAAAAGTTCAAGACTATTTTCTTTGTTGGGCACTAGCAGTTTAAGTTTTCTCCATAGCCTTACACAGATGACTGCTCAGGGAGGGATATTACCGTTGGTCTTCACACTTGAATGTTATGTCATTTGCGATAAAAATATATCGAGAGTGGCTGAGATTGGTTTGGGTAAAATACGAAGTTCCTGATAGATATAAGGTATACAAGTGAATGCACAGCATTCAAGTCATGGAGTCTACAAGCACAACTTCTCATCTGATAATTCACCCATGGCTCTGGTAGACATGGGATATTTTATCAGATACACCTTCTACTGATAATTCCGAGGCTATGGCAAACTCCTTGACATCTTTGGCTGGGCTCCTTAGGCAGAATAATGTATTGGTTTAAAGACTATCGTCGGACCTTGCTCTATCATTGAATTTTCTACCAGAAGGAATTCACTATAGTTTAAGATTACCCAAGCATTGCCCACCTCAAATTCTAAAAGAAGAGAAAACATACAATCCACAAGGATAGAATGGAATAGACGATCCTCTCTTGATATCCTTCAATTTAAGCCTTGTCACTGCACAGTGCCGTCAAGCTATCGATTACAACTAATCTGGCTTGTAATTTTTCTCATTCTCTACAATTTAACTTTTTGTTCTTACACCATCCTTTGGATTTGATTTCAACCTTCATCCTGGCCAGAAAAAAATGATTGAAGATACTGTGCAGGTTGCGGAAACAGCTTATGCAGTTACCGCTGTAGTGCTCTTCTTAACCTGTGCCAGATTCTTCTTAAGGAGAATCAAGCATGAGAAGATTTACCCCGATGACTGGCTCATGATAGTCGCTTTCTTCCTCATGGGAGGTTTTGCTTCTACATTCCCCGTTCTTGTATGTTGCTTCTTGATCTTTCCAAAGTTTTACACATTGCTAACTTACTATCACAGCTTCAAACCGGGTCAGGGAAAGATGCCCACTCAGAGTCTGAAACCATCGCAGAAAGTAAATGCCAATCATCCTTTATAATTGATAATTCTCATCTAACATCGAAACAGCGGAGTTTGACTCAAAGTATATCATGTTCGGGCGTACTGCCTATTTATCTTACATTTGGTCTCTGAAAGCTTGCATTGTACGCTGCGAACCTACACAATTGCTCGAGATATATGTTCTGACAAGCTTGGCAGTTACTTTACTATTACCGTTTGACAACTCGGCAACCGGAACAGAGATATGTGATCTTCATTTTCTGGCTGATTGCTACGACGTGGACAACTACTATGTTGATGTGGATGCTTCAATGCCGCCCATTTAATTTGAATTGGAAATTTACAAAACCTCCTCAGAAATGTGCAGTGAGTTTCCCTAAATGCTATCAAAGATGTTGCTAACAGTTTCCCTCAGGAAGGAGTAAGTAGCTAGTACGATCAAATTCCAACAAAACACTGTACTGATGCTTATTAGAGAGCTGGACTGCTGTTCATGGCAATTGTGAGTAGAACCTCTCTCTGTACCTCGTCTCAAGCTAACAACGGTCAAGTCGATCATTGTAACTAATGTTATTTTGGTGATCATTCCTTTGCCAATGATTTGGCGAACGCAGATGGTGACAGCGTATGTTCTATCTACATAAGGCTTATATAATTCATCCTCTCGTCATACTAATTATTTCTTTAGTACAAAGCTCAAAGTATCAGCCGTGTTCCTCGTTGGTATATTTGTAAGTAATCGTTAGATTGCCGTCGATACAATTCTAATAGATCTATAGCTTGTTATAATCTCTATCATACGAACCATCTTGCAGGAAAATCAGATCCAACAGATCGACGACAGGTTCTTCTGGGGAAACATGGAGTGTCTTCTAATGGTAAGCTTCTTATCCATATGATTACATAAAGAGACATTCTAACACACTCATTACAGGCTCTCTTTGCCAATGCTCCTATAATCAACGCCCTTTATCGACGCCTCAAAGCTGGTGCTGGATCGAGCCACCTCGTATCTAGATCCGATATGAGATCCGCCAGAAATACAGATGGCATTGAGCTGTGTTCTGCTGAAGACTCGAGAGAGATCGATTTCATGGAAGCGATTCGAGAAGGACCTGAAGCCGAGCACGAGAAATGTTCAAGTCTTACATATGTTGTATGTATATGGTTTTCGGCGCAGTTCCAATCAAACCACCTTCAACTGGACAAAGCTAATATAGCATGCTCTCAATAGTTACCAGCCTCACCAGCACCAGCCAGAACCGCATCTAAATCTCCCAACCATTCTAGACGCAAAGAAGTGCCCCATACCAACGTACTCCTCTCCGTTTCCAGATCCAAAGGAACGAATCGCGACTCACTCGGACGCTCCGTCCAAACCGTTGAGATTGTCCAAACATCTGAACCTGCAGATCCTAAAAATCCGATGACGATAAATCCATTAGGAGGCGTCGGCCGAGTTGAAACGAAAATCTCTCATCATGATACCTCGCCGTTGCCGAGTAATCCGGATATTTACGATGAACTTTACTCTTCTGCTCATAGATCTATGACTTTGGAAGATATGTTGGCGGAGCCTAATTCGCCTAATCGGAAACAAAGATGATGGATAGGGCGTGTGTATAATATGCAAGAGTGCTCTCGATGTAGCGGGATTTGGGATTTTGTCGACACACTTGGATGCATATAATCCGAGACTTCATTATTGGACCAAGAATTGCCTATGATATAAGATCATGACGATATTGGGATCTATTAGCGTTGTCAGATACGAAACGATGTGCAGGGCATGTAATACACATCTACGACCTTTTATTTTGCAGGGAGTTTAGGGTATACCATGGAGTCTGGCGTTCTGAAACTCAACGCTGCCTTTTTGCTTTGGGAATGAGTTGTTGTGCTCTAAATACCTGTTAGGTCTTGCATCAGAAGCTCTCTTCTCTTTTTAGTTTCATTGTCCTTTCATACTTGATACCCTCTCGTCTTTCTCTTTTTCTTCTCCTTATCAATTCAGAATATCGACACTCGTTTTTCGTATCCGAGCATCCAAGCTCTTTTCTTCTGTATCCTTCTCTTCTTGTTCTCTCTCAGTCACTAGTTCCTAGAGCTTAGATACAACATACCATAGCATTGCATAGCGAAGGTGATACCAGGAAATACGTTAGCATTTGCATTCGCATTTGAATGACGCAGAAAAGCTCAGTTGAGATATGATGTCATCTTACTTAAAATTCACAATTCATCCATACTTTTTGTGGTTATGTGATAAAAGATTTTTAAGGTGTGTGATGCTAGTGTGAGAGTTGTTGTGAAGCAAAGCTGTGTTTGTGTATATGCATTTATACGGTAGGACTGGCAGCTGGCGGGAATAGGGGCGTATGGTACGTACGTGAGAGATGAAAATGATGGGATGAGCATCAGCCAACCTAGCTAGGTATGCGTTTGATAGGAACCACTCGAAGTGAAAACTTTGACGGGAAATTCTGATCTAGTACTTCTTTCTCCCAGAAACTATCTACATAATGTCCAGCTCGAAGTATCTCAATTCCAGCGATGTGAAAAGAAGTATTCTACCATAAGAATTATGGCTGAAGAAAGGTAAATAAGTAAACAAATAGGTGAAATAAGATTATGTTAATGGCCAGCAGAGATTTACACAGCGGGAACTGAACTATTGTCTAACGTGAGATCTTTAGTTTTTGCAAGCAAGTTATGACAAAGAAAGGGTTGGTACTGGTATAACTCGTTCAGTAGTTTGGTAATCCTTCTGGAAAATGTTGCAAAATGCCGAAATTTTATATTCAGATGGAGTACCCACAATTGAGCTTTCCCAGATGAAGTGCTTGCATACATTCGGCCATCAAAGCATGTTGCTGAAGGAGACTAGTATTGCGAGCATCAGGATAAAGCCAGATCCCGACAATATGGCTATCTATCAAACAGATTCACGCCACTGCACCTGACCACCCAACGGACCAGCCTTCGCCGCCATCTCTTCCGGATTAAGGAGTCTTGGCTCATGCGTCATTTTCAAAGTCGTAACTCCGCTCGCAAAGACAAAGGTGAAAATAAAAGCAGTCCATTGCAGAAATTGTACTGCCACACCAACCTTCACAGTGACATTATTACTCCCATCCAAAGTCAACAGTTCTTGCTGTGATCTTACAACTTCCACGATTGACAATGCGCCTGCGAATGACCATGCTGCAGTGAACCAGAAAAGCATTATGATGGCATGATTTAGGAACAGAACGGTTTTAGGTCTGAGTCTTGCAGGTGCTCGAGTGATTATCTCGAGGGGTATGAGAAGCAAAACGCTGATTAGGAATAGGAGCCCAGCTCCAGGGAAGAATGAAGGAGAACCAACAAAGACATCACGTTGCATCCCTGATGCGAAAACGAGGATTTTCTCGGTGGCATTTGATGTGCTGTTGGAACTTTCGATAAGCAAATCACTAAATCCCTTGGAAGTAGTGGTGCAATGTAATTTTATATCAGTGTCGGAGCCAGTCCTTCGAAGACATGTACCTTCTCGTGGTCAGTTTGGTCTCATTCCATGAAAAGCCGAAAGAAGACTAACCAAAGTATCCAACTCTGACTTCGACACTGCCGGTCCCTAGATCCGTTTGGATATTCTCTATGAATATTCCCGGTACCCCTGGAAGAGCTGCAATTGCCGCAAGCACTAGAAATCTGATGTGAGGATAGATCATGACGTTGTTGAGATTTATGCCGCTTACTATAAAACAATAGAGCAGGAAGTGCCAGAAACCCGACTGCCCGTCTGTATTGCGGTAGACCCCCTATTTAAGTTTAGTTGACAAGACTTCAAAATCGTAGACAGCACTTACGAATGAGAGGCATCTTGCTCTCCTAGACTACTGGAACAAGCAATTGACAAAATTCAGTTCATTAAATTAGTTCACAGAACCAGCTGACTGAAGAACGTTGGTGATGAAGTTGCAAAAAATGAAAGCTGCGAACAGACAATTTGAATGATGAAACGGCAATAGAAGTTCTATATATAATGCGTGAGCAACATGCATAATCCCTAGTACTGTATTTGTGACGTTTCGTGAGGGGTTAATATCTTGGATGAGAAGGGGAAACAGAATGACATGGCCAAGTAGTACAACCCCAGACATCAGATTTATCACTTCATGATTGAGGTTAATTCAATATTTTCTAGCTTGAGATGTCAAAGGGTTTCCCGAACAGGCTTCTGCTCATTTCGGGATCAAAAAATCATTAATTCGAGTAGCAATAAGCTGAAACTCGAGGCACAGACTCCACTTGGTCTCATCTCATAAGGCTGGGTATGACAATCTCCGCACTATCTTTAGCAACCGGAGACTCGCAAGTTCATACAATGAGGTCTAGGATTAACGGAAAGTTACTCTCGAAATGTTTTGAAAGATTCTTTTTTCGTTTGTTTCCCATTCATTGTTTCTATTCAAGAGAAACAGTATGCATTTAATCCGAAACGGGTAGCTCTTGTATCCGACAAGCTCAGCACCATTATGACAATCACTTATTAAACTGTACTTGGTAGGATTCCGTGCGAAGTGAGCTTATTGATGTTGTTTTCAATAGATGGAGATGGTGAGGGCGGGGAATTAGATGAGAAAGTTCTCGGAAAAGCGAGTAGACGTATGTATTACATAAGCGACTCACGCTTGATTTATTTGGTCAGAAAACAATCAAAGTCACGGCTATAAACGGATTTTTGATTGGGTGCATGCTTGTAGATTTCAAGGAGAGGAAAACTATTGCGCATTTTGCTCCGTCAATTTGTGTTCCTCGTCATTGAAAAATTCCGATCTGTTCAGCTGAACATAAAGTGAGTTGGATTGAAAGCCAGCCTTGGTCTACCTAGGTTACCTTGAAGCTTGATATTGATGAAGCACTCGTAAGTTGAAAAGACTAAGAAGCAATGATTCGCTCAAAAATCAAGAAGGAACATTTGACGCAACCAATGCAAAATAACCAGAACGATGCCCATTTCGCATGTCCAAATTGCCAACCCATCGGGGTAATAGATTTTCTTATATTTACATCTTCTCACCCTGGATCGTAGCAACAACCTTCCTAGTATGCTTGCTAGATCTGAACTCCAGATACCATATTCCTTGCCAGGTACCCGTATTCAACTTTCCATTCGTGATAGGAATCGTAACACTTGCTCCAACCAACGCGGATTTGATATGTGCCTACAATGATTAGCCCTTATCTTGTACAAGTTCACGAGCACTCCTCCATTCCACCATCGAAGAACAAAGTAACAAACAAAAAGAGTACAAACCGGCATGTCGTCCAATCCTTCCGCACTGTGTCTATATAATTCTCCCTTTTTATCTTCTGGTGCAATCCTATCCAACGCATCACTCATATCAGCCCTAACATCTTCATCCCAATTCTCATTCAAACTAATTGCGCAACTTGTGTGTTGAATGAACAAATTCAGAAGCCCAACTTTGTAGTTCTTGATTTCGGGAATTGAGGAGACGATGTGGTCGGTGACAAGATACGAGCCGCGGGATTTGGAGGGGAGAGATATGGTCTTTTGTGTCCAAGACATGATGACTGGCTTGGTATAACGAGCGGGCGAGAGAGCGGAACTGTATGTGCTTGGGAGGAGTAGTTTGAGAGGGAGTGTCCAGAGAGCGTGGAAGAGGGGCGGGAAGAGGGCGATGAGGAAGATTAATACAAAGAGGATATAAAGAATGGGGAAGGATGACGTGGATTGTGTATTTGGACGTGGGTTTTCGTCTTTGTCGGGTTGCGCAGATGAAGAGGAATTTGAAGATGGCATTCCAAAGATTTTGGATGTAATTGAGTTGCTTAGAATTGTAGTGGGGTTTTGCGGACGTCATGGTTTGGAAGCTTCCCCGAGTGTGTTGACAGGGATTAGATATACGTATTTGATATCTACGATACCTAATTATACCTAATTACTGCGTAATTACTAGATAGTTAACACTTGTGTGTAACATCACTCACGGTACGATACAAGACAGCTACAATGAATAATATGAAGTGACAATCGTGAGAGATAATTTTGGATATCTTTAATAAATCGAAGTTCTCATGTCTACCTAGTCAGTTCATCAGCTATTCCGAGCTATTATATTTTGACCTTTGAACGCCATGCCGTGCCTTCCTCTGCTTTGAAAACACTATCATTATCCTATAATTATTGAACGCCATTTTCTTCCTTGACATCAGCTTCTCCCATGGTTTCGTCGTCGCCCCCAGCCAAAACGATCGTCTTAGGCACATATCCTTCTTCTGGTCCTCCACCAGGAGTAACAGCTACCACATCACCCTTCTCATCAACAAACTCGAAGTTATATCTGGACAATAAATGTGGAATTGCTGAGAGTTGAGGACCATATCTTGCTGTGTTGTCGTAGAGCTCGAAAAGTGGTACCGCGAGGAGTTTCATATTCTTGGGAACACTTAGCACTTCTGTATAAGTATTAGCAATGCCGCATTTTCCAATTCAAGGATTTATAAGTAAAATTGAGAATACATACTCTGTCTGGGAAGTTGAATGTAATACAACTTCTTGCACTCCTTAGGTCTTGTAACATGCGCCGGGATAAATGGGTACATAAAAGTTTCGAAGTTCGGCCTCCACCACTGCGCCAACGTGTCTCCAATTTCCCACTCCTCATTTACACCTTCTCCACTGAATTGGGTGCCTACAGGTGCCAATCGTTCATTCAATCTCTGTTTAAACCCTTCTACTTCATCGTCTTCGGGCTTTAGATAATCTCCAGGGAGTTTAAAGAAGGCGTTTGCGATTTGAAGCATGAGGATGTGAGGATGATTATGTTCATGACAGACAAGAATTCCTTCGCAGGTACGTCGCATACCGTGTTCGACATAGTGTTCTTCTAAACGTTTGAGACGCGCGAGAACGGAGGGGTCTTCTTCAGGTTGGGTCTCTTTGGTGCCGAAAGTGTAATTTGAAAGGGGGAAAAGACGAATTGTTTTGGGCTGATTGGCATTGAAAGATTTTGGGAGGATAGGAGGATAGGACGTCTGCAGGGCGGGGGTTGTTATGGTAGACATCTTGTAAATACTTCAAAAAATAAATAGGAGTTTTGTTCGATCTGGAAGCTCTAGATTGTCGCAAGTAACAGCAGAAGAAGCTCGATCGGTGAGTGCGGCCGCTCTCGTTCAATATTTTCCCGAAGACAAATCCTCGCCTAGCCTAACAATATGTATACCGAGTACTCCTTTTATCATCTTGGAAGATGCTATGTTATCACACTTTTCCTATTTTATTTTCATTTTCATATTCATTTGGTAAAGAGGACATCATGGCTCAAGCAAAAGCTTTGTTTGTCTCTGGGAAAATAATCCTGCAATTGACATAGATATTTTGCTTGCAAGCTCTTAACAAACGATGTCTCCTATCATTCTCTAAGTTTCACGTGGTTGTTGTTATGGTCTCATGGTAATTTCTACTTCATGCAACGGGTTAGATGTTACTAGTTATGCATCATTCTCCACGTTATAATATTTCATGGTGCCCTCGAGAACTTGTTTATGCATGCCGTCAAGCATACAAAACACCAAGTGCCAAATGCTATGATCTTCACTATCTTTAAATTAGTGGCATGGAATATAAAGCTGCTGGAGATCTTTTTGGGATTGCTATTCTAGTGGGAGCACATAATAACATAGACTTGACTGTAGTAGATCACTGAAATTCTCTAAGAAGATCTATCTGGGTGAATTATCACTGTAGAAGTAGGCAGATAATCTTGCTTAAAATTCTCAGTGCGTGGTATGTACACTAATCGTCAACCATAGACTTCCCCATCTATGAACAGTTTATCGTTGACCAATGTTCCATCAGTAATACGTTGTGGTTCATAAAAAAATTTTGGCAGGATGACATCATGCTTCAAGAGGGTATGCAGTTTCTGGAAGAGATTCAAGATGTGCTCGGTGATGTTCGTTGGCCTGTAAGATAAATGAGCATGAAGCCGAAAAGATGTTATGGTTAACGACGAAGAGAAATCTGGCTTGAGGTCTCAGTCCGGGGTGTGGCTTACAAAAGGCAATCCGCAGTATGTGCAGTTGCAAATTTCGGGCTTATCAGTGTTGATGAAGATTCTTGGGTGCCCCAATGCTCCTCCACCTCCATCGCATGCCACAATACGATCGTGAGTCCATCGTACTGGTTGTTGGTGAATCAAGCTAATTGCTGATTGTGGTGCTGGCTGGAGAAAAGTTAACATGCCGCACAAGTACGGATTTGGATGACTTCCAAGAACTGAAGCGCAATATTTAAAACGCGGGGTCTGACATACCTGAGCTTCCATAATGGTCTGCTCGAACCTAGGTCCAGACATTGCCTGCTCCCTAGGATTCTGACTTCGCGACCATTTGCCCTCTCTATTTGGTGCCTGCATAACCCTAAACTTTTCCGCAGTCTCTACGCTCTCCTGCAACGGCTTATCCTGGACGTGACTTTCTATCGGCAGCTCGTTGGTTTTCGAGACATTGGGCACTTTCTTCGGAGAGTTTGGATCATTGATTTCTTGCTGATCATTTGCGGAAAATGCGTAGGTTCGTCTGGCTGAGATCTGAACTCTACGAGAAATTTGCCATACGGCTCTTGATCTGGCGGTGGACAACATTATGATGGTGTTTCAATCAATTGTTACGGAGGGACCGAAGAAGGACTTAAGGTCGTTGTCGTCCAATTCCAGGTCGCTTACGTAATACCAATAAAGCACAGAAGCTTAATCTTTAACCGGGGAAAAGTCCGCCTTGCAGAATACTTTTGCTTTTGACTTTCTTCCATAGATCGTGGCAGGTCTATAGATCTACGACTAACATTCAGCAGTATAATTCCATCTCCCCAATTCTTCTACATCATCCTCTCGATTATTATTCTTCTAATTTCTTCCATACTGTGAATGAACAACAACTACAACATGTCGGCAAGTGCAGGGACCCCAACAAGTGCGCCAAAAGCTATGTCTTCCAGGCTTTTGACGATGAAATTCATGCAGCGTGCTGCTGCTTCATCGCCTACAAATACTTCTCCTTCTTCAATAGATGAGCCATCGCCGAAGCGACAAAAGACAGCACAAAACACTCCTACAAAGTTCAATGTCGATACTTTAGCCGATAACCGCGCGATTCAAGCCGCAATAGTGGAAGAAGAAGCCAAAAAGCAAGCCGCATTGGATCGAGCAGCCGTTGAAGCAGGAGATACACGATGGGTTTTAAGCTTTGAGGGAAGGAAACATCTCAATACTCCAACAAATACATTGCGGGTAGTTCAAACTGGTTTCGCAAATTTAGACCAGCCTTCGCCGATAAAAGCAGAACGTGTCGATGATGACGATAACAATTTTGGAAAAGAAAAACCATTTATGGTCGGTCGAAGGAGTTTTGGAAAATTCAATAAAGTTTTGGAGGTATGCCATGCATTTTGATGATCTGCGCTTTATCACATGCTAATGACTGGTAAATAGAAACAGCAAAATCCAGGCATGGAATTTACATCATCAGAGGAAGACGAGGAGAGCGAGGAGGATGAATCTGAAGATGAGGATAGTGAGGATGATCCAACAGGCGCAAAGGAGTTGATAAAAGCCTCGAAACAGGAAGCAATAAAACGGCTCAAAGAGGAACGTAAAGCCAAGAAGAAGGCAGAAAAGGCCGACTTGCTGGAGTTATCGAAAAAGAGAAAGAAGAAGCATGTCTCGCTGAATGGGTTGACATCTCTGTCTGGCTCAGGAGGGGGTTCATTCGGCTCAGGGGGTGGAATCAAGTCTGAAATAAAATGTTATACGTGTGGAGGAAATCATATAGCGAGGGATTGTTCGAATCCAAAGAGGAAACACCAAGGAGACGGGGGCCCACCTAGGAAATCTCAAAGAACAAGATAATGAGGAGCGGTGGCAATGATAAAATACGTTACAGAACGTCGGAGATATTGGAGAGATCACAGTCATGAGCTGGTTTACGCCGATAAGTTTACCCACAGGGTTGAACAGCTACGACGGTCTGCGATCATAATATTTTCGGATAAAACTTCCTCGTGAACTCCATCACTCGGGATTGTACCAGCTATAAAGGTCGAATCTACTTTACCAACATAATCTTGAGAAGCCTTGATTATCATAAGGTACAGACAAAAGTCGCACAACAGAGGGAATCAAATCCATAGTACGAGTATAATAAATATGTGCCAAAATTTCGATGATACTTTTGTTGACCTGTTTCACTCTGTCATTGTTGGAGTTCTTTTTAAATATTATACTTTGCGGCTCTGGAGTGTCAAAATTCCTCAAATGGGGTACCGACAGAGCATGATTCATTCTTGCCTATCTTGGGTACTCAAACACATACAGCGGAGTTGTTAATCCCCTCTTTCCTAATGGCATCATGTTGAGGTTAGCACAAGAAGAAGAGAAGCAATGGTACCTCCTTCAATCTTCTCATTCTACCCTCGAGTTGTTTCCGCCTCTTCAGTTAAGAGCCCTCGTACTTCATATTGCCTTCTCCTCATCGTCATCCCAATCCATTACAAAGGGCGCAGTTAGGAAATCATGTCGAACGATCTCAGCTCCTCCGATCTAGTGTTTGTCTCTTCTAAGAGGGGCTTACGATTGTGATTGCTGATAGCAGACAGAAACTCCCCAACAGTACCTCAACGCTCGGCAGCAATCGTTAATCTAGATGGGCGTTGGGCACTTTATCATGAAACAAAATACGCTCCAGATATCCCTGAAACATCATATTATTTGCTAGAACTCGGGACTGGTATAACAACCAAGCTGCCCAAGTCAGCCGAGTTCGCACCTTTCAGCTTCAACCAACAAATTTCATCTGGGCCGACGAAATTACCCTTCTTTGCCAAGCACAAATGAACCAGACAACTCATTTTTTCACTTTCAAAGGCCCACATTTTGCACGGCATGTAACAAGACTGTGTCCAATACAACACTGGTAAAACTAACTCGGCGCAAGGTGGCCAAGGCCAACCAGTGCAGGCCGTGTTGACACATTGTTGTCTATCTTGAAGGCATTGTATTTCGTAGAGAGTGATAGGACTCGGAGGATTTATGTGGCAATTGCAGTCTCAGGTATTGGTACTAGAACAACCTCAGCAAGCTCGAGTGTTAGTGAAGTCGATGTTCTAGGATGTTCCTCAAGGCTAGGTGGTCAAGTACTGCGGTGCCTTGTGTTCAAGACTCAAAGGGAATTTCCGTACATCAATATTGAGTTCATTAGTGGTGATATTCTTGAGACAATTAACCTTAAATACGTTCCCTTTCCAACCCGGGTGTCAATGGGACCAAGAAATTTCGATATATCTAGAGCGGGACTAGCTCTTGCCGCTCAAACCGAAGAACAGTCTCAGGCTCGACATGATGGTATATCTGATGTCCACTTTATTCCTTTTGATCAGTTACCGACACCGAAAAAGTCGAAGGAACTTATTCCTATAAAAATTGAAACTACCAGAGTTATCGAGAATAGAGAGGAGGTTATTAATGAAAGTAATGGACCCGAGGATGGAATTACCGAGAATAGAGAGGGGTCTGGCAATGCGAGTGAGAATAGGGCTGTCGAACCTCCTTTTCCGGTTCTAGCGAACAGAGGGGGGCAAGTAGGTTCACCCCTTTACAGGCATTCCGCATATATGTGGACTATATGGTGGCAAGAGGAGAGACGAAGATGTGGATTTGAAGACGTTGATCTTGATTTTGATTACTAGAATTCGTTATTCGTTACGGGTTATTTTTAGATTATAGGCATTGAAATTTTCGTTTTGTAATTAGCTGAAGATTGAGTTGAATGTTTGGAGTGGAGTGGTTTTGTGGTATGTTTTTGGGAGGGAGGTGTGGAGGTTGATGAATGGGTTTCTGTGTGTTGATTCTTTCTTTGGATTGGAGGAGATATAGATATATGTATATACAACTGGAAATATTAGAATGTCATCCCAGTTCTTGACTCTTTCTTCCCGGGGTCGAAGTTCGGTTGGGAATCTATGAATGAGTGATTTTATCTACTATGGTAGTTAGGTGGGTAGGTGGCTACTCGCTTGATGTATATATCCCGATGGATAGATATGTGAATACGTCGCCTAGTATTATATATCACATCTTATATAAAGAACATCACACATCATACATCATATACACTCATACACTATACATCATACATTTGTGTCTACATTACATCATGTATTCCACCCCTTAGGTTTAGCGAGCTTGAAGGAAGAAGTAAGAAGTAGATGTCTATTATGTATATTCGTTATTGCTATCTCAAGTCACAATCTCGATTCTTTAATCCCCAATCTCACTCATCTCGAAAGATGTTATATCTGGTGAGTAAAATTGTATGTAGATATAAAAGGAGCTCACACTGAATTACTTGCCCGCTCATTTATTCACTCACTTACTCAATTATGCATATCCGATCTAGCACACTCGAATCTCATCTACGGAAAGAGGGAGAGAGAGAGAGAGGGGAAGTGTTACGTGTGTGTGGATTTGAGGATTAGAAAATGTGATGGTATGTATGATGTAGTGAGAGTTGTAAAGAGAGGGAGAGAAAGAACGGGGGAGAGAGAAAGTGAAAGTGAAGGATAAAAAGGAATAGAAGAAGAAGAAAAGTAGAATACAGAATACTGTATACTGTATATCTTCTATATTTAATATATAGATAAGCAAATAGATAATGTGGTTTATTAGTGAATGAGTTACTTTCATCTCAATTTATACTCTTTTCTTTTTGTTGTTTTTAATAAATATTAATTAAATCACTTAATATTATTATAATAAAATAATAAAAATTCAATATTATAAGAAAAATTTCTTATATTCTTTATTTTCTTTATATAAGGAAGAATACTATTATAAAATAAAATAAAGAATTCTTTATTCAAAAAGAAATCCTTTATTAGCTCTTTATTCAAAATAATAATTCATTATTTTGAAAAATTTGAAATATCACGTGGAATCTAGTCCAAATGCGGAATGACAGACGCAATATTAATTTTTCTTTATTATAAAATTGATTTCAAATCAATAAAGAAATTGATTTCAAATCAAAATATTGATTTCAAATCAGAATTTTCATGTACGCCACCTACGTATTATAGGCTGTATAGAGGGCAGGAAAAAAGCATAAATAAGTGGCTTAGGTCCCTGTATTCAGATCCTTTACCAGAACCCACTTTTATATGTATTCAAGATTATATAATACAATAACAATTCAAGCTTCAATAATAATAGTAATTCTATTTATAAATTCTATAAGCCTAAGCTTCTCATATAGTACTATTATAGTACTATTCCCAATCCAGCCTAGTCAATCCCCTGCTAAGCGCATAACCTGCAATACTTTTAATATATATTTTATCAATAATTTATAATGAATTCGAATAATCAAGAAGTTCGTATACTCTTTGTTATCAAAACTATTCAAAAAAATAAAAAATAAGTATTCGAAAAGTTGTGAAGATATATAATATTCTGAATACAATATTATAATATAAAATCAAAGGTTTTACTCTTCATTTCAAATATCAATCTAAATCTTATAATCTTTTAGAATTAAAAGAGAATATCATTTCTGAATATATAATCAATATGAATTCGAAAGATTTTCTATTTAAATTTAAGAATATGGAAAATATAGCAAATTATATTCTTAAATCAAAGGGTACAAAATACATTAAAAAGCTTTAGGTATATTAATTTGTAAAATATTAAATCAAATTAAAGATACATTTTAATTATATTTATAACTTTCAAAAAGCTTTCTATAAGAATTCTAAATTCCTTAAAGAATGGTTTTAATTAATTATAAATATATAAGCGAAATATAACATTTTGAACGGAGATTTTTATAATTTCAATGAAATAGGCTTTATAATGAGGATTATATATATAATAATAATAATAACTAATACTAAACGAAATAATAGAAGTAAGGTAATATAACTAGATAATTAAGTGTTACGGGAACTGCCTCTAGGATTATGTGGAAGTGTTTAGAGATCTTTTGAAATGATTTAGATTAAACTTCAAATAGGAATTCAATAAGGTTGTAATTGGTTGTAATTCTTGTAATTATAGTAATGAAATTAATGATTGTTTTTAAGTATAAAGCTTTACATTGTAATGAAATCTATTCCCTATATAAACCTTTGTATTAAAATTGATTGATAAATTGATTGACAAGTCGATCGATAAGTTGATTGGCTTTTGATTATATAATACTTGTTCTATAATTCCTATTATTCTAACTTGTCCTTTTGTTCTGAAACTAATCTTCTAAAATATTATTAATCTTAGTAAAGCCTTCTTGCTTATTATATTCTGTCTTTCTTAGAACCTATTATTCTGGGAACTATGTTCTAGGTTTTTAGGGTATCCTATAACTAATACTATATACATGCCTGAGGCTCTCCTTAGGTGCCTAGTGTCCCCCGATATACTGTAACTGAATCACTGAGGCCTATAATATCATTATAGCCTATAAGTCAGTGATTCTACAGCCTGTTACTAATCCGTTGTAACATCAAGAATGAATTATAATAATAATATATGGAAATAAAGAGGATAAAACTATTCCCTTATTTCTAATAGTTTAAGAACAAATTTATTTCTTCAATTAATATATTAAAATAAATCTTCTTATAGAATAGACTATTAAATCTATATCTAATAGGTAAATGAACAATAAAATAGGTTTAAAATGATTGAAACATTTTAATAAGTATATTAAGAATTAAAGAAAGAGTAAATATTGAATATTAATACTAAATGAATATGAAAACTATAAATCAATAGTTTTTCAAACATATTATAAAGAGAATAATATTATATATTTATATTTACTATTACATTTAAATTATTTAATTTAATTATTTAATATTAGCTATTTTAATAATTTAAAATATTTATATAGTAGTCAAATTAATGAATTTATTAAAGCATATATTAATCATATTTTGAAGGTTGAATTCTTTATAGCTTTTAAAACTATATATAAAGAATTAATCACCTTTCAGAATATAAAATCAAAATTTCAAAAAACAGATTTAATCCCATTTAATCTTGAAGCTATACTCTTGAAATTAGATATTTGAATTTATACATCTACCCCCCCCTCTTTCAATCTAAATCAATAAATCTCTTAAACCCTTTATAACCCAATTAAAACTCTTTCTTAATCAATATTAATTAAATTTTAAATAATTTATCATTAAGTAAGCTCCCCTATATTTATATTTAAGACTATACTAATTCTAATTAAAAATATAAAAAGATTAGCTTATAAAAACACACTTTTAAATGTAAAGAATCGTATATTTTGAGTAATAAATGAAATATTAAATTATTACGAGAGCTGCCTCTAGGATCATGTAGAAGTGTTTAGAGATCTCTCGAAGTAATTTAGATTAGATTTCAAATAGGAATTCAATAAGGTTGTAACTGATTATAATTCTAGTAATTATAGTAATAAAACTAATAATTGTTCTTGAACATGAAGTTTTATATTATAATGAAACCCATTCCCTTATATAAATCTTTATACCTTATAAATCGACAAGTCGATTACTATAAAGTTGATTTCGATAAGTCGATTTCCTAATTATATAATATCCATCCCGTAACTAATAATAATACTATTGCTTATCTAACCTATACTCTCCAACCAATCTGTAACTATTGCTTACCCTATATCTACTATAAAATAGATAACAACAAAAGATAAGTACCTATCTTTTAATCATTAACTATTCATTTGATTATTGTTATCTTTAATTACCATTTAATCCGATTATCCCTATAGTACTATTTCCATAGATTCTAACACCAAGGCCTCAGATTTATCTTATAATTCATATTATAGTACGGGTACCTCCGTAACATAAATAAATATTAATATATATAAAAAATCTAATTATATTGAAAAGGAATATTTATTAGATAAAAGACTCTTAATATATTATCTTAATAAAAAGTTAATATTCAGATTCAATATAATAAATATTAAAAAAAGAATAAATTTAATAGAGAAGTATTTTATATTCGATATTATAGTAAATATAGAAAGATAGATTATAATGTAAGAATTTGTTAAAATAATGTAATAGATTTTAGATTATTAGAATCTTTATAATTTCAATTAATTAATTTGATTATTGTTGAATAATATAGTTTTGAAAGTTTAAATTGAAATGAAAGTAATTCATTTATTGATATGACCTACTCACTAATAAACCATGTTAAGTAGATATATAAATATATATATATATAAATAGATACACAAGTAGATTTATAAATAGTCATATAAGTAGACAATCAATCAAGCATTCAATCAAATCGATCAATCGATCAATTATTATCAAGAAAGTTATCAACAACATACTCCCTTGAAAAAAAAAACATGATATAATACAATAGACTCAACAACAGAAAATAAAGTAACTACTAAGAATAAATAATACTATCACAACTTCAAAATTATCAATACCCGCTCACAATTACTTACTTACTATTTTCCTTCCATCTATTTCTTGTTTCTATACTCACAGATATTAAAAGGGGGAAGATCGTTTTCAAAATTTAATCATGCATACCTAGTATTCATCTACTATCTGACCGAATATATACTATACTTACAATAAATAGATGCAGCGACTAGAGCAAGCAAGTAATAAGTATCTAGCACATGAATTTCTGTTCTTTAATTTTTACTTCTATATTTTAGCTTTACATTTACCTTTGCATGTTTGTTTGCATGAGCACTAAAAGATATCTCGTGAGCCAGCTTAAATTTGAACAGTATTGGTATTGGTAACTATTGTCATTGGTATTATATAAGTAAGCCTGTGAACTTGTACCAATCACGTCTGACTAATTGAGTGATTGACATCCTTTTCTCCTTTTTTTGCTCTGCTAATCCTCGCTTATGGGATCATCTTTGTTTCACTCGAGTAAATGTTATGATGGGGAGTATCTCTCTCCATAGCCTAGGTATCCATGGTACATGCTCATTTGCATACTATTCATCCATCCATCGACCCATTCATCCATTACCAGCCATTCTCTCAGTATTCATTTTGCATGCATTCCCTTGGATAAATCCTCATACCACTTTATCCACATTCTCATCCATCCACACACGAATGCCATACCATGCCACATCATACAACGCTGTCAAATACAAATGAAGAGACGATGCAATACAATACAAGACAAAGTGATACCATACAGTTCCTCAAGTAAAATCTCACATGCCAGTATAACTCCTTCCCGCCCAATACTTCATTCATTCCCTAAATCCCACTTTGACGGGGTCTCTTACGAGAACTGCCGGGTGTGCCGTGCGATGGATGCATCTTGTCGTTCTTTTCTCTCTTGAGTTTTTCGTCCAGGACACGGGCTGTTGTTTGTTAGTAATTGTTTGTTTTGAGAAAAACACACACAAAGATACAATTTCCGAATCCTGCAGCCACCTCTCTATCCCCTGGTTGTGGATGAAAAAAAGAAAGAAGAAAAAAGGTAACCAGAAGCGAGAAATTCCAAAGAAAAGATCGAAGCCAAAAAACTTACTCAAAACATCATAACCAAACTGCGGAAACTCCAAACACATCTCTCTAAACTCCGTCTCCGCCTCACTCCTCAAAGTATGACTCCTCGTCGCCCAGAAATTCGCCACCGGCGCCCTAATCGTCTGATCATCCTTCTGGGTATGCGCATACACATATCTCGCATAAGCAATCTCTCCCTTCGCGGTACTATTCACACAATGAATCTTGCTACTCGCCAGACTCTTCAAACTCGGCAGCTGCAGCATTTCCGCCAGCGTATACACGCGCGCATGTTTAAGTAACTGATCTCCCGACTCATCGACGTCAGGCATCGCCGGGTCCGATTCCAGATCGCGCGATCCGGGGATCTTGCGCGGGAAATAATCATTCGTGTAGAGGTACTCGAGAAAACAGCCGACGGCGTCGAGATCCTCGTCCACGAGATCGATGCGTCGCTCGCTGACGTCGGTGCTGAATTTTCCGCAGGCTTCTGCGAACCAGGGGGATTTGCAGAGGAGGGCTTGATGCGCGTGGAGCAGGGCTTGTTCGTCGCCTTGGCCGACGAGTAAGGCGATCATGGGACTTTTGAGGTAATCGATGTAGGTAACGCGCGCGGGAATATCTTCCATGGCTGTTTCTTGGAGATCGGGACCGGAAACTTCGTTGTTGTCATCGTTGGAGACGTGGGTGTTGGTTTCGATGCCGGCGGACGCGTCGATTTCGATTATGACGGCGCTGGGATTGGGGTCGCCCATTTCGATGTCGGGGGGGTTAGAGCCCGGAGCGATGTTCTCTGGTGCGAGGGGATAATCATCTGCGGAAGACATGTTTGGATGTTGAGAGGGGAGAATTGAGAAGTTGCGAGGTGAGGTGGTGGATAGATGGAAAGGTGGGAAGATCACGAAGGTGGTATCGACGTTCTGACGGGAAGCTGTGTAACTTTATTGAATTGAACCAGAAGTTACAATACGACACGATCCGACACAACACAGTACGCAACTCAATTGAAGAAAGAATGGTAGAAAAGATTGATGAAAAGAAATTGGTTATCTGAATTCATTAAATTAATGAAAGCATCGGATGATGAGACACGATAAGAATACCTAGTGAAAGTTGAACGCGCTTCGATAGCCGTTGAAGGAGACGTGTAGACGTGTTTTAAAGCTCTCCCAACCTCCTGTTTATTTGAGCCTCGCGATTAAGGCATCAAAGCTTTCAATTGGTCAATTAACTGTATGTACTAATAAAACTGTTCAGTACAATGTGCTATTATTTGAACTTCAATTACGAGTTTCCTTGATATCATTCATCTGTACCTGAGCATCCAAGAGATTCATCCCATGGATATTCCTTGGTGGCTTATGAATAAAGGAATGAGATGAAACTCTCCAAGTACTTAGCTATAGTTATATCACACCAACATCACTGATGACACAAACAAAAGACATTTCTTGTAGTCAACAATTCTTCCTTCAAACTACAAATCAATCTCCAAATGTTCATTCCCATACGCCGTTGATTTAAAGGCTTCAAGCCATGCTGGTATCCATCCAAATCACTCAATATGGTGAGTATAAAACCCTAGAGAGAAAATATATGTAACAGGAACATATACATGAATATACTGCCTCAGAAAACTTTCCATTCTTCCCATCCAAGCCCATCCTAAAAATGCTAGAAAAACGCCCATCCATCTCTTTCTTCACTTTTCTCCATCATCACTGACGGCTTCGTTTCAGAAGCTAGTAGAATAATATAATCCTTCCTTTCGAGGTCCATTAGACTTAAAAACGACTAATTCTCCTCCCAAACCTATTTCCCGTCGTTGGAATAGGTTTCTCCAATCTTAAACACCAAAATAATAAATCTTCCATAGGTAATAAGATGAGGAATATCCTATTACACAGATATGCCGCGATCGCCACGAAAAATGCCACAAACGCATCGAGATAATAATGGTTTGCCGTCGCCACGATTGTGATCAGGATATAAAGCGGGTAAGCGATTCCCAAGAAGACATAAAAGAGCATCCAGAATTTATTCTTGCGTTTTTCGCCTGTTTCGAGGTTTCGACGGAAGAGTCCAGAATGATAAACAAAAGTCACGCCGATGCAGAATGAATATCCAAAATGCATGGATGGCATAGCGGCGAGTGAGTTGACGTAATTTCCTTGCATCCAAACGGATTGTGCGTTGTTGCGTCCGACACTGTCGAGGAATCCATACTCAGGGGGGAGAAGACGTGGTGGCATACATGGGTAGAGGATAAAGATACAAAAGGCGAAAAGATTGGTGAGAGTCATCGTTCGACGGACGATTGCGAAAGTTGTATGGGATGGTGCTACATAATACCAGAATGCGATGAATCTTCAGAAAAAGTATTAGCCAAAGATCAATTCTCCAAAACTACTAGACATCTCTGCCTAGTCACGATTTTCGAAACTCACCCAACAGTACCAGGAATGTGAATCAAGGCATAAGAACGATTCAAAATGGTCAAAAGCGTCCCATGACCATTCAAAAACCACTTCTGTACATCCTGTTCCCTCACCGGCCACAAAAAGCTCATCCACGAGAACTCCTCGAATTCCAAAATCGCCAACCCGTGATCCTGAGCCACGTCCCAAATACCCATTTTGGAAAACATCGCTTGCGAGAGGATTTTCGTACATCGATAAAACGCATACGTAACTATCCAATAGAACATCTCGATCAGAAAAGGAAATTTCTGCAATATGCGACTGTGGTAGTAATCTCGAAATCTCGAGGTATTCGGCGTCAGGAGATTCGTGCCACAGCATCTTCTCTTCTTGGGGGGATACTTCGACGTCGACATCGAATCGACCTCGGAATCTCGTCCGCTGCCAATCATATAGTCCCGAGCTAATAGATCATCGGATGAGCGTGCGGAATCGGGTTCCTCGCTCAACAATCCGTAGTTGTTTCGCCTTCGATCGAATATCTTATACCCATGTCTTCTCGTCAGTACCATCGATCCAAATAAGATACTGGCAACCATCTGTGAAAGAAACGTTAGTCGATGAACTTCATATTCTTTTCTCTCTAAATTCAAAATCTAGAAGGGAAACTAACAACTGGTTCTGCCCATCCCGGCAATCTGAATTGTGGTTTACTATTCCATTGCGGTTCGCCATCTGGAAGTGATGTAGTCGCCATATCTGGATTGTATAAATGTCGTCCGCCCAATCCGACTCCAACACCAGACGTCAAAACACGATGGAAACCCTCAATTGAAGGAATTCTTTTCTTCCTTCCTTTCCAAGAGAGTATTCCGGACAAAGATACAAGTAAAGTATTGATATAAGGTATCTATAGAAAACCCTGTATCCGAATATTTTCACTCTTTATATCGAAATAATTTGCTCGTGGCGTTTAACGCAGGGATGACGTATGCATTTGCTGTAGGAGATAAAGAGGAATTGAAGCCCTTAAAGAAAAGATTACTTGTATTGATAATTGCGTATTAAAGTCGAGATATGGTTAAAGATGTTGCAGATATACAAATCAAGGAGAGACATCGACATCGGCCATATAAGTAGGAAAATGAATGTACGGAGTATTCGTTCGTTGTGTGGATTTAATATATTGGAAGTTGATAATCAGGGGTGATGCGGATCTGTTAGTATGGAGAAGGAAGAATGAAAGCAAGGGCTATCTCTCTTCTTTTACTTCTCCTCAAAATTTGACTTGAGAAATGTAACGAGAAGTCTCGAAAAATCGAGGTTCAGAAAGGAAGAAAGACAAGCAAGCAACCGAACGAAATAAAGTGATATGGAGCTTTATTTAATCAAATCAAGAGCTGATTGACAGGTTGAAAATGTTGTAAATAGGGCTATGGATGATGAATTTGATACCAAGTAGCGGCTAACTAGGTCCTCACGACTAATTCTTTCATATACCAAAAACAACGAGCAGTAATACCATGTCTCGCTAGTCATGAAATCTAGAGCATATCCCCTTCTTCTCTCCTTTGTCCTAAGGGAGTATATTATCTAGACCCATACTTCTTCCCCTTCTACTTCTTACTCGTCGACGCAAAATGAGAGCTCCCGACGATCTAACAAACTATCTACTCTCTGCTCAGACCCTGACCTGATCACTCGAATACCTGCAGAACCAAGGTACAGCTTTCCTCGTATTCAGCAACCCACCACAAGCGTATTTACCAAACAGAGTAATTCTTCACATGCCAAGTATCTCATCACAGGTTATTTTGGCTTGGAATCTGGATCAATTCTACTGCAAATAGCTGGGGCCAAGAAAGGCCAATTGATTCACATGTTCCAAAACTTACCAAGAAGACGTGGTGTTGAGGTAATGAGTGCGGTGTAGGTAGATATCCCGTCTTTCTTTCTGTGGTTTGAAAAGGAAGAGATCGTTATGGATCTTGGGGAGGAAAAGGAAAATAAGGATTAATTAAGATTAGACGAATGTGAATAGCTTACGACGACTCTGTGGGATTAGAGATAGCTTGAAATGTTATCCATCTTTTACTCCGTACGTCGTAGATCATAGCACAAATAGATAGATAGATAAATGAATAGAGAATTCTACCTTTACACTCGAACTAAAATACAATATACATGGAAGATTCTTTTTCTACATGGCATTCATACATCATCATACCAGTATTCTTGAAGAATATTCCTTTTCGATATATATTTTACCACATCACCCTTTTACCCTTTTACCCCTTCATCGATCGTTAAATTCCCGGTTCTTTTCTTCCCCATTCTTTCACGCATTCATCTCGACCCACCAACTAATAGTAACCTTCTCCATCACAGATTCACAATCGTGCATCGTGAACCACTCTTCATAGATCCCAAAAGTATAATTCTTTAAACTTTACTCGATAGACTTTGTACTTTCTATCTACATAAAGCTCTTCACACTTCTCCAACCTGACTCTAATCACAACTTCACAACCGAAAGAGAGAAGCACACGACACTTTCCAAGCCCAATCCAAACATTCGACTGGTGCTGCTCCTTTGCCTCATTTTCGCTCATGTGTACGATGTCCCAGCCAAAACGAGCCCAAGAATATCAAACTGCTTATGATGAGATGATGATCAGCAAGCCACACTGCCACTGCCAAGAAATCTTTCTGATAGAAGCTTAAATAACTTTCAACGAATTGTTTGCTCGCGAGAATACTGAAATAACATCTTGAAATTGACTGGTTTTTAGGTAAGGTTACTGAATGCTTATTAGAACACACACGAACCAAACACTCTCACAACTACAGTGTTTGTACCACATTATTACTGTCGCGTATCGTGTCGTGTTGTATCGTATGTGTTTATGTTTTCCTACGTTGTTTTATGTAGATGTGGAAATCCTGGCTAGAAGAAGTATGCAGTTCGTATTCATTCATTTCTTCGCAATCTCGCATTCGCACTCGCATACGTACATATATATATACATATCTACATATCTACATACGCTCAACCAGCGTCCCACAACAGATACAGAGACCAAGATACCAAGGCTTCCTTCGAAATAAATGTCACTATACCTAGGTAGGTATTTCTCGCGGTTTGTGTTTCGTTTGAAAGGTCGGTATAATTATTACTTCATCTTTTTTCTCGATTTTTATCTATCTATCTATTCATTATTTTCAATACTATCTCCTCTACACAGAGTTACAAACGGGAATCCACAATAGAACATAATCCCGACGTTGTATTCCTAACGAACAAGCATACCTACATATAAACCTAGCAACAAGGTCGCACCCAAAACATGCGGGAAGACGTCACGGAAACATGCACGAAAGGAACCGGGTGTAAGGGTAGGAAGAAGAAGAGAAGTAAGCCGGATCAATCGTTCCGATAGTTTTTGGGTGCCGAGATGGGTGTGTTTCGGTTGCGGTTTGAGGTTTGCTTGAGCCGCAATATATAACTAGGTGAGCTAGGTAGGCGAGGGAGGTAAGCTTGGATATCCTTGGTTGGTTGAGGATGGGATGTTTGTATGTGTATACTGGTAGGAATGGAGGGGTTGTTTGATTAAGATATTGCGGTTTTGTATATTGATCAATCAGAATATCTATAAGAAAGGAAATATACATGTCTCATCTGGATTTCGGCAGAATTCTTGCGAAGGATTCATCGAAAGACCCAATGCACCTAATCAATTTAACCCGTCTAGAACCCCCTAGTTCTTCAAACATAATCTTACATACATCAAAACAGAACATCCATCTCTGCCCAAAACCTCCATATGCCATCGCTGCGAAATCGTGCCTCATTCATTGAAAGCAAAGAATGGACGGTACGAGTACATACCATGCGGACTTGTAACTCTCGAAAAGCAAAGTTGTCTTATCGATGAAGAAGATGGAGTACGGGTGACATTTTTAGATGTTCTTGGACTTCTTCTACTGCTCTTTTCTATTTTCTATTGCTTATTGGGTATGGTCATCTCGAGATCTTCTATTCTTTTTGTAAAGAAAAGGGAATTGCTACAGGTGTGTAAATGCATTCTACCTTCTATTCGGATTTCAGGTATACTAGCGAGCCCTTTGGAATTTTCTTGTGCCATTATTGTGATAACCCTTAGCCCTTCATATGCTGGGTAAACGTTAACGTTAGAAGAAAATCCTCGGAGTTCGTCATCATGAAGTCGAGTTGATGATTAGAAGAAGCAGGGTATTTCATGAGAGAACGAGAAAGAGGAGATTTTAAGATAGCATTCAGATCAATGAACTAGAAAGGTTGAATGTGAAGATGGTAATCAAACACCAGAAATGGAGGAAGAAACCCTTGAGTATAAACATCAGATTGAATCGATGGCATCTATTTATGTGAAGATTTCCTCTCGCGGACCTTCCATCTGTTTTCGAAATACACATGTCGTCAAATAATCGATCTCGGAAGATGTCAAGCCATGTCTATGAAATTCTATCGTTAGTCGGGGCACACATCTAGACAAGTTCACATCATTTCGAAGTCGTGCTCATTTTGTTCTGCTCAGCTTTATACTTGCAGAGGAAGTTAAGTTAGCCAAATATAAAAACCGTTATCTTCCTTGACTTACAAACACATGTTCTACTCATCTCTTCTTTCTCTTGAAGTCAACTTTAAGTAGAATTACATAGATGAAGTATTCATCAGGTAATATTGGTCTTTCTGTAGAACTCGATAATCTGTTCTTGTGAGTAGCTCAGAATACGAATCAATTCGAAGAAACGGGCAGCAGCGAATTTTAACAAGACTGATTGAATCCACATGTTTCAATGTGTGTAATTCAGTGTAGACGGACCTCGAGATGCTTCCGGTATTCAGCGATATATGTCTTTGCTCCTTCATTAAGAAACAAAACTGAAGAGAGATCACAGTTCATTCACACTCCTAATTGTTCGGAGGGGGCCGAAGGGGGAGGAATTGAAATATTTTCGTGGGATTTATTTGATGTGTGTTTGTTTTGCAACGAGATGGTGTGGGTTTAAGGTGGATGAAATGGGATGGGTGGGTTTAAGGTGGATGAAATGGGATGGGTGGAATTCACTATAACTTATGAGTGCATGACTCGCAGCACGTTCATCACTCATTGAACTATAGTGAGAAAAGTGATCGAGAAGGTGAAGGGGTTTGAAGCAAGGCGCCGATTAGAAGAGCAAAGGAGTCAATATACTCTGCCCTGAAATGTCCCTTGATAACCACCTCACAGCGTATAATAGTCTAACTGACCCAAGTAACTCGACGAGCACTTTCTCCCACTCTATCTAAAAGCAACTATTCCATTCCCAAACAATCACTCTGTAACCAGGACCTCGCCATCTTCAGCTTCTTTACCCTTCCCACCAGCCCCATCAACCCTTCTTGATCCTCCCCCGCCAAAACAACCGTCCCGTCGCCACATTCACCACCTTCCCTCTACCATAACACCACCCTTTAACCAGCATCCTCTCCTCCCCTCCCCCAACTCCCCACACATCTCTCTCAACCCCCCAACCCTACATTAAAAAACAGCAGAAACGAAATCGCCGCATCCATCCACTCACTCACTCTCTCTCTCTCTCTCTCCTAAAATCTAGAAATCCCCCCTTCAAAAACCCCAATGCATACAACCCCCTAACCCATCCATCCAAACCAACAACCCCACAATCCCCCTTTCCATCCACATCCACCTAATATCCTCACCCAACATACCA